CATAGCCAGCATGGCTCATTGGCAGGAAGTGTAGACCAGTCACTGAGGGCAGGAGATCATCCCCCTAGAAGCCAAAGCCCTAACGGGTACAGTAGTCCTAGCTGGACAAGCTGTTTTAGTTGGCTGGACTCTAACAGTACCTTGGATGCATGGAATTCTCAGCTTGGTTTAAATACTCTTAAGCATGATGATGGATGGGTTTCTGCGTGTCAGACACCTGGCTGACCAAAAAAAACGCTGTCAGGGAACAGGCAATAACTCAATGTACTACATCAATGCTACCAGCATTGCCAACCACTTGGGACATCCGTCCGATGTGAAAAGCGCTATATAAATGTAATTTGTTGTTGTTGTTGTTACCATTGCTCCACGTGCCCTGGGGCTGCCTGTGAATAGAGTCGGCATTTGAGCAACTTCCCAATGTAATCTTTTAAATACTGGATTAAAATCTTTTGGTTCCGGCCTTCCTCCTCAGTGAATGCTTTCCCCACCTTCCCCATCCATAGTGGAACAAGGCAGGGATTTCCCCCTGTCTGCCTACCTGTATTCCTGAACTGCAGAACCATGGAAATGGTCATAACTAACACACGTATCTTTGGCATATAAGTCACAGAAGAATACTATATATGAAACACCATATTAATCGGCTGATACTTTGCTGTACCTCATAAACTGAGATCCTGTAGCTCAGTGGTTAGAGCACTCGCCCCCCAAGAGACCTGGGTTTGATTCCCGGTAGGGTGAAATGTTGGGCAAGTTTTCTTACTCCACACACCTCTACTTACCTAGCAGTAAGTAAGAACCCAGTTGTTAGTCGATTGACGGATTGCTTTTCCGGGAGTAATAATCCCTTCAAAATAAAAATAATAAATTGGTCACTTCAATCCACGAATGTTTGTGGGACACTGCTGTGCGCAATTGGCTGCCACATTTCGCCAACAAAATACACAGTCAATTCACTTTACAGTATATTCTGTGAAACGCTTTGAGACGTCCAGAAAATGTGATAAAGCACTATATCAAATGCAAGGATTATTATTATTCATTACATAACTGACTATCTGCCTCATCAGCATTTTCAAGTCATTGGGGTTTCAGCCAAATCTCATGCTGCAAGCTCCAAAAATAGAAGGCATGGTTTTTGTCCAGGACATTACAAAAATATACAAGAAACAGGGACACAGACGGCATTAAGTATAATGTTGACATTCCAACTTTAAACATGTCCAAACACCCCTTCCTCTCAGCAGATTAACAGATTTAAAGAAATGGAATAGCTGACTATTGGGGAGAGAAAGCTCTACAAAGGCTAACTTTGCATTCTTATAGAATCTTATTAAAAATAATCCTTACATTTGATATAGTACCCTCCACATTGGGAGAACGTCTTAAAGTGCTTCACAGGATACACTGTAAAATGAAATGACTCTATATGTGTTTTATCCTGTAAAAACATTTAACATGCTTTACAGTAGTTACTGGCGAGAGTAGTGACTGTTTTGAGCATGTCAGCCTGGCTCATGTGGTAGCACTCTTGTCTCTAAGTCTGTAGGTCATGAGTTTAAGCCCCATGACAGGACTTTGAACTCACATAACCTAGGCTGAGGGTCTAATGCAATTGGAGGTGCGCTGCATTGTTAGAGGTGCTGTCTTTCAGATGAGACATTAAATTAGATCAAGGCCGCCTGTTCTTCTGAGGCAGAGCTGCATGCAATCAGCTGCCTGCTCTGTTTACAGTTGCTGCCCGTACATATTTTTGGAAATTTAAATAAACACATTAGATTTCTTATTCAGTTCTGACTTCTAGCAGCAAGAATGTCCCTTCCTCCCATTCCAACATGTAAATCACCCCTCAGATGCGTTTATACCACATCACCCCCATGATAAACGTGTGGACATGTCACATATGCAACATCTGCCTATCTGAGCATGTGATACCCAGATTACAACATGAACTCAGGCTGCACTGCATTGTAATATCTGCCACACTGTAATAGCCCACTCTCAAGGCTGAAACATCAATGATGGCCAGATAGGGAGGACAGAACCCGGTAGAACCGCCATCAGAATACCTTCAGCAGTGACAGAATCCTCCCCCACTTGCTGATGGAGAAACGCCAGTCTTTGTATAACCCGAGGGCCTTCTTGTTTGAATCCATTGTGATATATTAAAGGGCAACTTCAATGTAGCAATCAATGCTGAAATATCACATACCATTTTAACTATGTCAATTTAGTAAATTGTCTGCAGAGTTTGAAAATATGGCAACAATATAGATCCCATAGAGTGATTTATTTTTCCCTCCAAATTACTCCTCTCCTGAATAATGCTGGATGAACCTGGTTTTATATCTGGCTTTGTGACGATCATTGACGTATATTGGATACTGCAGCCAAACCTAATGCAGGCTTCACCTGATCACATCTCCAGCAGGATCACTGACAAAGAAAGATCAGTCGCCCAAAATTTCTCATGTTCTTGACTTTAAAATCGCTATCTTAAAATGTATGTAGGATTTTGTAAAATTCCAAAATAACAATCCTTGCTTTTGAAAGTAGTGCCTTATCATGTTGTTGCAAAGTCTCAAAGCGTTTCACAGGATTTACTATAAAGTGATTGTGTATATAGCAGCCAATTTACACCCAACAAACTGCCCTGAAGTTCATGACCAATTTTTATTTAGGGGATTGTTGGCCAGATTATTGGGAGAAATTGGGATCTTTAATGTCTACCAGTAATGCAGCGATCTCCCACTAGTGCACTGGAAAACTGGCATCCAAATTAAGACTAAATAATAAAACTGAACTTAAGTCCAGACTTAAGTTTCCTTACTCCAAAATAGAACTTGGTTATTAGTCTATGGCAAGTTGCTTTCCCTTTATAATAATCCCTTTATATATATATGAAACAAATTTGATCACTCAATCCACGAGTGTTTGTGGAATTGGTCACTTCAATCCACGACCGCTTGAGGAACATTGCTGTGTGCAATTGGCTGCCCTCAAAATATACAGTGCAATTTTCGCCCTCAAAATACACAGTCAGTTCATTTTACAGTATATTCTGCGAACCGCTTTGAGACACCTCAATTGCGTGGTAAGGCGCTATCAAATGCAAGGATTATTTTTATGGCATTGGGGCCTCAGGAGCTGGAACCTTTTCTGATTTTTCTGGTTACTAATTCCGGATGGTTAGTCAAGTGTAGAGCGCATGTTATCAAAGTTCAGTACCTAGGAATTTTCTAAAGAAACCTGATATCCAAGTTGTGGATCCAAGTAAGTGGATCTGTAAACAGTTCTGAGCGGAGAGCAGGTGGGGTTTGGAGAAACAAGCAGGGTGTGGGATGCCAGTCTTCACTCTTTATCTGATTTAACTTTTCTCTTTGCACAGAACTCCTGCAGCACTAAATAAATTTTCTTCAAAAATGCAACCACCTTTTTGCTGCATTTGGAGAATTCTTGCATCACATCAGGACTTTTAATAATAATAATAATAATAGCTGCATTCAATAAAGTGCCTTTTCACATCATTGAGGCATCTCAAAGCACATCTCAAAATATATTGCAAAGTGGATTGATTGTGTGTTTTGTGGATGAAACGCAGCAGCCAATTGCACCCAACAGTGTCCCACAAACAGTTGTGGATTGAATGACCAAATTATTATTTTAAAAAAATTGTTGAAGGGATTATTACCCCCGGAAAAGCAATCCGCCAATTGACTAACAATCAGGTTCTTACTTTTTTCTTTTTTTAAGGCAAGTTTCCTTACTCCACACGCCTAATAATAATCCCTCCAAAAAACGAAACAATAACAAATTGGTCATTTTTAATCCACGATTGTTTGTGGGACGCTGCTGTGCGCAATTGGCTGCTGCGTTTCGCCCACAAATATACAGTCAATTTCACTTTACAGCGTATTCTGTGAAGCGCTTTGAGATGTCTACAAGACATGAAAAACGCTATATCAAATGCAAGGATTATTATTACTACTAATTACTGCTAGGTAAACAGAGGCATGTGGAGTAAGGAAACTTGTCCAAGTATTGTATTACAAGACTCCACAATAATTCTTACATTTGATATAGCTTCTTATCACATCATCAAGATGTCTCAAAGCACTTCGTAGAATATTGTAAAGTGGATTTGACTGTGTATTATATGCACAGCAATGTCCCACAAATAGCCGTGGAGTGAGTAACTAATTTTAATTTGGGGGATTGTTGGCCAGGACACTGGAAGAAAGAAACTGCTTTCTTTATTCGAATAATGCCATGGGATTTTTGACTTCTGCCTGAACACAGATGCGACCTCGGTTTGATGTCTCACCTCAAATAAACAGAATATTTATTTGTTTGTTTTTTTATCCTTCAATTCAGGTTTAATTTGAGAGTGGCTGGTTCTTTTTAAAAGCTGTGGGAAAATGGCTTCCGAATTGAGACTGAATCAAATCATTTTCTACAATCTTGTGTAATCTTAAATTTTAAGATAAAATGTTTTTTACAGGCTAAGAATAGGTAGAATTGTGGACCTGGTTTTCTTTACCCGCATAGCAGTTAACAAGAGGCAGACTCCCTCCTCCCCTCCACGAGACATAAACCTCCGTCAAAGCAAATCACAAGTCTTGTGACCCAAGTGTAAAATGGTAAAATTTTTCTACATTTGAGTTTAAGTAACAGAGGTTTCAATACAAACTGACCCAATTCATGGGGGTTAATACAGGCATTTCCTGACTCCACCTTGTAAAAATATTCAAAGTTGGTTCTTACAGGCTTCTAAAAATGTTGCAGCACAAGTAAACTGCCTGACCTATTCACAACTTAACAAAATAGCATGTCTTTTCCAGAAGAAACCTTTGCTTTCTGACACAACCAGGAAAACAGCTGTTATCCATTAGCTTAATAAAACAGTGGTTATCCATCAGTTTAATAAACCTTATCGCTTATTGTTGTTCATTTAAAGATTTATTGATCATTTCATGTCTAATGTAACAATAACTCACTGTCACTCCTTTCTGGTTCCTCACAGGCGCTGGATCTCGCCTTACAGACAGCACATCAGAGATCCAAATTGTCGTCCTTTAATTAAGGAGTTCTGTTCCATGTTCGCTGCACTCATCAGAGGCTCTACTCCGCACACCTCAGATAACTTGCATGGATTTAAATCTGTAGAAAATGTTTCAAAGCAAACAGATCTCCCATTCCGTGATGGCCTTTGAAGAGGAAGACACCCGACTAAACTATTCTGAGAAACTGTAACTAGGAGGAGCGCTATGACTCCTGACAATAAAGGAGGAGTTCAGATAGTGATTTATTTTTATGACAGCTACTTTGCTTATTCATGAAAAAGTCTTGACAAATGCGACTTGTCAAAACATGTCAGCCAGAAACCCTTTGAAGTTCAGTAAGTACAGCGGTTAGCTCAAACAATAACTAATACTGCTCCCTGGTAAAATGTGGTCTAAAAGCCAACAGTGCAGAGGTGTGACATTAAAAGTTGTGAACAAATACTGTATAAAAAAGATGTAACATGCAGATACACCCTAACTTGAGGAACTCAAAGGTCACTAAACATTCAAGTTATATTTGCTTTATCTAAGTCAACTAAATAAAGATGTCAATAATAATAATAATCCTTGCATTTGCTAATTTTCTTCAGTTGAACGTCAACAAGATCAAGGCTCTCCTGATTGGCTCCCATCAGCGCCTCCACACCTCAGGTGCTGACAGCATCACCATCCATGGTTGCGCACTCCACCTTACTAAGCCAGTCCGGAACCTTAGGATCTTGTTTGACCCTCAACTATCCTTTCTACTCTACATCCATGCCATGACCCACTCTGCCTTCCCCAACCTCCACAACATCGTTTGGTTCTGCCACTGTCTCACACCGCTGAAACCCTCATACACGCATTCATAACATCCAGGCTTGACTATGAAAACTCATTATGGCCTTCCCAACTCCTCCCTCCATAGGCTGCAGATCATCCAGAACTCTGCAGCCCGTGTCCTCTCCCGCACCAGACTCCGTGACCCTATCACCTCCATCCTTGCCAGACTCCATCACACAGAGGATACAGTTCAAGATCCTGGTCCTCACCTTCAAACCCCACGGTCTTGCTCCCCCCTACCTCTGCAACCTCCTAACCCTCTACCATCCTGCCTGTTCCCTCCGCTCAGCGAGCTCCAGCCTGCTTCATGTCCCCCACCCCGTTCGCCCCACTATTGGCGGGCAGGCCTTCTGCCACTTTGCTCCCACTCTCTCCCTCCACCTTGCTCCCTCCCTTGCCTCCTTCAAGACCCATCTCAAGACCCTTCTCTTCGACTGTGCTTTCGATATCCCCGCTTGCCCATCCGCCCTCCCCGATTCCAACCCCCAGCTCGAGTCCGAAACTCTGTCCAGCGCCTTGGGACTCCTCCCGATGTGAAAGGCGCTATCTAAATGTAATTTTGTTGTTGTTGTTGTTATAGCACCTTATCACGTTGTTTAGACGTCTCAAATCGCTTCACAGAATATACTGTAAAGTGTAGTGACTGTGTACTTTGTGGGCAAATACAGTAGCCAATTAATTAAGAGATATTAAGCAATAAATGACATGTGGATATCCAGGAAACAAATCCCCTTCCCCCTCCTGCTGAAATCCTGATGCGTTCAATTTCCCTTGTGGATTGTGGTTTGTGGTTAGCAGGACACTGGATTTCCAAAATGGAGTAAAACTGTGATCCCACTAATAGACAGTTGAACGATCAAGATTCAAATGGATTTCAGGACATTTAGTTTGTATTTGTATTTAGAGCGGCAGTGGGGAGAGTAGGCGAGGGTCCACCTACAGTAGATCTGGGTATTTATAGTCAACGTTTAAGGAATCTTTTAATTTGGATTGCAAACAATCTACTTTTTGGTATCAATATCCCTTGCCTTTAGGGCATGAGATTCACAGGAGAAAAAAGATACGTTGGAACAAAGTACGGAGAGCATTATAGTAGGAATATCCTGTGATGTATCCAACCTAGAAGTGTTTGCTGATGATATCAGGTTCCCTTAAGTTCACTGATATGATTCTTCACTATAATGACCACAAATATTCAGCCAACCATTTTAACTGAAAAAGGAAAAGATTTGTTTTTGTTATAATGGAGATTCTTGTATGCCAAATGTTGTTCTTAATCTTCTATTTTGGCTTTTGTAGTGGTGTCTGAATTCTTTGATTTGCTGAGCATCCTGAGTGGAGTCAGACAGTGAGATAAAGTTTGTTGGTATTAATTAACACAAGAAATGTGATAAGAAACCCTTTTAGTCAAAGCAACTGAAGGTAATGAGAAGATATTTGATCTTCAGGTCAAGCTCTGTTGATTTTTTCTGAACGTCACGTTTTGCAAAATGGCCTATTGCAAGAGACTTAATTCTCATAGTTACACAGAATTATCTAGAGTGATATGGCACCGAAACAGTCTATTCGGCTCAAAATAGTCCATGTTGGTGTTTGTGTTCTCGCAAGCTCCCAACCCTTCTAATCACCTCTCTTAGAGCACTCTGCTCTATTGTTCCTCAGGTGTGCATCAAGTTTTCTCTTGAATTCATTAATGCTTTTTGCTTCAAACATTCTCATTCAGTTGTATTTAGTTAACAATCCTCAGCCCTAGTCTATCACTTTCTGACAGATAGTATTAAATAATAATAATCCTTATGTTTGATATATCACCTTTCATGTAAGGAAGACATCTCAAAATTCTTCACAGGATATGCTGTAAAATGGAGTGAACCGTGTTTGTTGTGGGCAATTACAATAAGTGCATAAAAATATGAATGCAATGCTGTTTGCAATACAGTGAAATGGTTGAAAAGTGAAGTTGTTAATTTAGTACAACAGGAACGTTAACAGCAACCTTAGTTGTATCAAAGAAATTAAATCTGAGATTAAAACAACCCTAATAACTAAATAATAAAGACAAATAGTGCAGTTGACCACATAGAAACATATTTTATGAAATTAAGAAAACAGAGGAAACTGGTCAATTGAGCAACAAAATAAATCGAAAAATAGATGAACTCAGTGGTGCTGGAATAATTTGTTATTGGGGCTGCTGAAGTCAGCTTCTAAACAGTGGTTGAAGTAAAGAGGATCTGGAGGTGAGGTGCTACAGTTCGTGAGCGGGAGGTATGAAAGTGGGGGTAGCAGTCGGCAAGTATGGAAGCACAACACCCCTGTACTTCAAATGCCTATGAATGAGCTGCCAAGTTGCATACACTCCAACTTTTTCAAAAACAATTTGAGGGACACACCCTACTTACCTAATTCTGAAGAGTACTAAATGCAGGTTGGCATGAGCCAAGGCTTGGGGATCTCAGAGGATGTATTAAATACTGCTGGAGTTTAATCGGCTAAAACTGCATATGACAAAACTTCTGCTGCTTTTCCAGTTAGGACCAACCTACCCATTAGACCCTTGGCTTGTAGGGTTAACAGGAGCTGAGTGGGAAGAATCCCTGTTCCCAGTAACTGGTCTGCTCCTCCAAATCCTGGGCTGATGTATACTGTGGACCCGCCTGACTCAGGAACCGGACTATGGAGACCGCTACAGAGAATCGGCTTGATTCTGACATTCCAGTGCCATGTACATCACCTAGAAGCCAGCTCAGCCATAAGGATACCCCACTTACCTCCCCCCAAGAAGTGGGTGGGGGGGGGAGTGCTAAGTGGAATCTCATAAGGATCATTGCTTGGACTTCCATTATTTCTAATCTATATTAAAGAACCCAACAACAGCGCAATTCACCATTCATCCCTCCCCGTTTGGCTGTGAATCAACATCAAACTTGCTGTGATTCACCACCAATCATGCAGCAAAAAACATAGCTTCACACTTGGAACAATCAGCCAGGAGAGGTAGAAGAGGCAATACAATACAAAATTACATTTGTTTAGCACCTTTCATGTTGGGAAGACGTCCCAAGGCACTGGACAGTCAGGGATTTGGACCTGAGCAGGGGAGTTAAGATCAGAGAGGGTGGAGGATAGGGAGGGTGGCTGAAGGCGTGGTCAAAGAGGTAGTTCTTAAGACTGATGTTCCAGTTCTGATGAAGGGTCGTGGACCTGAAACGTTGACTCACTTTCCTTTCTCCGTAGATGCTGCCCGACCTGCTGAGTTTTCCCAGCTCTCTCTGTTTTTGTCTTAAGACATGCCTTGAAGGAGCAAGGGAGGCAACAGGTGAAGGGAATGTGGGATGGAGTACCAAAGGCAAAAACGTTTATGACATTGAGGAAAAAATGGATATTGCATGAGTAAGACAGGTTAGTAAAGGGACACGATTTGCTTGGACTCTTGACTTTTCTTCTATCCTAGCACTCAGAAAAGGACTGTGAATAAACTATTATTCATGAGTCCTGGTTAGAGCACTCGCTTTGCAAGCGAGAGACCTGAGTTCAATTCCAGGCAGAGGGCGAAACCTTGGGCAAGTTTCCTTACTCCACATGCCTAATAATAATCCCTCCAAAACCAAAAAGAATAATAAATTGGTCATTTTCAATCTATGACTGTTTGTGGGACATTGCTGTGCGCAATTGGCTGTCGCGTTCGCCCACAAATATACAGTCAATTCACTTTACAGTGTGTTCTGTGAAGCGCTTTGGGACATCCTCCCGACGTGAAGAGTGCTATATCAAATGCAAGGATTATTATTATTATTATTGCAATTTACAGCAGATCAGAGGGACACAGAAAACTTTTGTAAAGAGAAGAATTATGCAGTATTCCTGTGAGCGAGATGCAACACAAAAGTCCGCTTAAATTGGATAATTAAAACTGTTTTGAAGAAATTATGTACTATTCCAATGCTGAACAGATTATAATAGCATTGAACGGCCTTACGACACTCCAGTATCTTACCATGTACCTAAGGATCAGAGAAAATAAGGAGAAGATGTCATGCTTGGACCCCATGCCTAACAATATCTCACCTGGAATGAGAAGCTGCAATTTATAACATGTGACTGAACAGCAGTTGATCCCTACATCCATGCTCTGACCTGTTCAGCTTTCCCCCACCTCCGAAATATTGCACACCTTCACCACTACCTCTCCCCTTGGGCCACCAAGATCCTAATCCATCCTTATCAGCTTCAGAGTTAACTACACCAATGCTCTGTTTGCCAGACTATCCAAAATCTTCTCTGCACAAGATGCAGATTATTCAGGATTGTGCAGCCTGTATCCTTTCCTGCACTAGGCTCCGCGAGCCTATCGCCCACAACCTCCACCAGCTCCACTGGCTCCCCATATTGAGTTCAAGATACTCATCCTTTATATCACTCCGTGGTCTTGTCCACCCTCCCTCTGTGACCTGTTCAAACTGTACCGATTTGGTTGCTTCCTTCACTCAGTGGGCACCACTGGCCTGCTTCATGTTCCCTGCATTACTCACTCCACTATCAACAGTTGGGCTTCAGCCTATCTGTCCCCACTCTTTGGAACCCCATCTTACAGTCCCTCCGACTTGCTCCCCCTCTCGCCTTGTTCAAGGTCCATCTCAAGACATACTTCTTTGACATACGTTCGATCATCTTTCCCTTCCACACTTCTCTTGGCTCTACTCCTCAGCTTAGGTGTCAAACTAGGACTGCTAAGCACCTTGGGATGTTCTCCCGACTTGAAACGTGCTATATAAATGTAAATTTGTATTGTATTATACACAGTTTGCCAGTTTCTGATTGTAATTGATACAGCAATGTCCCGCAAACCGCCATGAAAAGCGCTTCAGAGGATTTACTGTAGAGTTTTGTAACTGTGTACTTTGAAGGCAAATACTGCAACCAATTTAATAATAATATAAAATGCTGCAGACAATTTGCACAAGGAATGAGCTATGAGCAACCATTCGACAAGATAGGGTTAAACTCTCCACACTCAGGCTCTCCAGTCTTAACAGCCAACATCTCAGAAGCAACCTTATAGAAAGAGATGTGTAACGTTTTAAATGGGATTCAAAATGACACCCAGAAAACTTTGGCATGCATCAAGATAGCAGAATAAGAGGACATAGGTTTAAAGGGCAATTTCAGAACAGATACCTGGAAGGTCTTTTTATGCCGAAAGTAATTAACAATTAGAACACGCATTGGTGACAAGTGACTAGAGGGGGCTCAGCCCCCCCAAATCTATCTATAGTTCACCTCTTAAGGTGAGGTGAGCTATAGATAGATGGCTGCTTCTCTTCCCCTCCTCTTCACCATGCAGGCTCCTTGCCAGCCTTAAAGATAGTCGCCCCCACCCTCTTCTGTTCAGACTCCAATGAATGTGGGCCGTGGGGGGAATGGAAGGGTAAGCAGCCATCTTTAACACTGGTACAGAGTCTGCAACTGTCTTAAAGGGCACCTACCATTCAGCCCCTTCCCAAAAATATTTTCACCTACCATCTATGAGAACATGTTGCCAGGAAGGGTGGGGAAACCACAATGTTGGACTCGTTTGAAAAACAGCTTGATGCCGTGATGGGGGGAGAGTAGTGTTGGCGTTCTGGAAGGATGAGGTCAAATAGACCGAAGTACTTACTTCATTCGAAACAATCTTGTAATTTTGTGAAATGAATGACTCATTTTACCTTGGGCATTGTTGGCAAGATCTCCATGAGAAACTCCTCTTTTCGAATTGTTCCATGAGATCTTTAACATTTATTTGCATAGACAAATGCCACAGTTTTACATCTCATCCAAAGAACTCCTCCTTACAACGCAGCAGTCCGCAACACTGGACTGCCAGCTTAGTTCCTCAGTTCAGAATCCTGATATGAGGAAGATCACACAATGAGGTATTGACACAGCATGAAAGTGAATTGTTTTAAGTGAGATTTTCTACAGTTTTTTTTCTTTACCAATAAACTGCAACTGAACATGAGGTAATGGCAAACCCAGGCTATTGTGCTCCATTTTAAAATCCCCTTGGTTTCATCTTGAAAGCCAGATCTTAAATAGGATTTGGGCTGTTTGAGACTAAATGCATATTCTCTTTCCAAGAAAGACTGACATGTTATCAGGTATTCCTCACTCTTACGCTACGTCAGAAATGTATAGGTTCAAGCCATATGTTACTGTCCACTTGACACTCCAGTGTGACACTACAACTTTCATTTATAAAGCATCCTTCATGTGGTGGAGTGTCTCGGAGCACTGAATGTTAGGGTCAGGTTAAATATTTGTCGGTGTCAATTTTTGGATGAAGCATTAAATCAAGGTCCACGTAACCGGTGAACTGTAAAAGATCACACAACACTATTGAAAAAGAGAAGGGTTTTCGCGGTATTTTGGTAGCCACCAGATAATTTGCTCATTCACCTTATGGATATTTGTGGGTCCTTGATATGAAACACGTTTGCCAACAAAAACAATCACTGCATTTGAACTATTCAGCAGTGAAGCTATCTAACAGCTGCTCTACCAATAGTAGTCTTTACTTAATAGGACAGGAACACATCAATCAAGTGCAGAGAATAAAATAAGTAAATGTTGGAACATGCAGCATTTAAGCGAATTGCCACGTATTTGTTTTTAAAACAAAAACAGAAGTTGCTGGGAACATTCAGCAGGTCAGGCAGCAACTATGGAGAAAGGAAAGTGAGTCAACATTTCGGTTCCACAACCCTTCATCAGAACTGGGGCATGTTGGGAGGGAGAGGCTTTTAAGAGCTAACAGAGAGGGTGAAGGTAGGGCAAGGAAGACAAAGGAGAAAATGAGGTAGAGGATAGGGGATGATGAATTAAAGAGACGTTGATGATGCAGAACAAAATGGGGAGGGGTGGAAGGATTGCAACAAAGCAGCAGACAGAGAGAGAAAAGGTGTGTCTGAGACCGATGATGTGGTAATGGTCACAAGGAGGGGGAGGGAGAATGTGAGCTGTTATGGTCTGAAATTGTTGATATCAATATTGAGGCCAGAGGGCTGTAAGGTCCCTAGCAGATATTTTTTTTATTGTATTTTATTTATCTGCTTGGGACCTTTGATCCCTCACTAGATGGATGGTACCAGGAACTCCTTACAAGCTTTCTGGTGGGAAACACATGTCAACATGAAATCTGTGAGTGCATTGACACCATCTTCCTGTCCGCAGCTCGGGCACACATTGAGCGATGGTTCCACCAATTGGAGGTGCGGTGTTTAAGCAGTAGCTGCTTATCTCTGTAAACCAATCAAGCTGGATTCCAGGCGCTGCATGTATGAGTGCATGTTCACAAACTCGGACGCCAGGTAACGTCTTTCAGCATCTGCTGCCCAAACTTCATCAGCTAGCTGATCCTCTGTCAAGAGTGGTGGGAGGACCTTTACAGAAGAGCTAGCTTGGCTGGACTCTTTAAAATACACAGACAGTAGATCTCATGTGTTGGGTTTATAATAATAATCTTTGCATTTGATATAATGCGTTTCACGTCTTCTCAATGTCTCAAAGCGCTTCACAGAATAGACTGTAAAGTGAATTGATCGTATATTTGTGGGAAAAACGCGGCAGCCAATTGCGCACAGCAATGTCCCACAAACAGTCGTGGATTGAAATGACCAATTTATTATTGTTTTTTTGGTTTTGGAGGGATTATTATTAGGCTCTGTGTGGAGTAAGGAAACTTGCCCAAGGTTTCGCCCTCTGCCTGGAATTGAACCCAGGTGTCTTCGCTTGCGAGGCGAGTGCTCTAACCACTGAGCCACAGGACTCCAGGTTGAACGTTGACCTGCAATATAAACCCCATTGCGTTGCCTCCGAAGGGCAGCGGAGCAACCAATTTAGCCTGGTGCTTGGGAAAAGGTCTTCGAAGGAGGGGGGGGGAAAAGCACGACGACAATTGTAATTTATCCAGCGCACCTCACGCAGGGTAGGGCTCCAGAGCGCGTTTCGCGGCGTTGAATTAAATTAAAATGTGAAAAATTAGACCGTCGCTCAAAGCCGTTGACAACAAAAACCACCACCACCGCCACCCAACCACCCTCCCTCCCTCCTCCCAATCTGGGCCACGTGGCAAGTGCTCACGCCTGTCCCCTCCACGTGCTCCCCAGGGCCATGGTATCCATCGACATCAGGTGACTTTTACGCGTCATCAATGCGCGACTGTTTTTCGAGTCGGGGTGGTTTCGTCATCAGTGCGCGGCGGAGGCGGCGTGTCTCGAGCTCGTCGGTTAATGATGGGCGCGCGCGGGGCCGGAGGCGGCGGCGGACCGGAGGATCCCGTGTCCAACTACCAGAGGTGGAAGAAGAAGTCCGGGAAGAGGAAGGAGCAGAGCAAACAGCTGAGGAGGCAGCGCAAGAAGAAGCCGGGCTGGCAGCAGGAGCGGGACGACATCGCCCGGATGGTGCAGAAGTATTCGGAGGTAGGTCTGAGCGAGGGCCCGGGCCCGGGGACAGCGGGGGACACGGGGGGCGGGGAATACAGGGGGGACACAGGGGGGGACACAGGGGGGGGAACACAGGGGACACAGGGGGGACAGGGGGCAGGGACACAGGGGGACACGGGGGGGACACAGGGGGACACGGGGGGGGGACACAGGGGGACACAGGGGGGGCAGGGAACACAGGGGGGACACGGGACACACAGGGAGGGACACAGGGGGGACACAGGGGGCAGGGAACACAGGGGGGACACAGGGAGGGACACGGGGAACACAGGCAGGAACACAGGGAGGGACACAGGGGGAACACAGGGAGGGACACGGGGCGGGGAACACAGGGGGAACACAGGGAGGAACACAGGGAGGGATACGGGGAACACAGGGGGAACACAGGGAGGGACACAGGGAGGGACACAGGGGGGACACAGCGGGAACACAGGGGGAACACAGAGGGCAGGGAACACAGGGAGGGACACAGGGGGAACACAGGGAGGGACACAGGGGGAACACAGGGAGGGACACAGGGAGGGACACAGGGGGGACACAGGGAGGGACACAGGGGGCAGGGAACACAGGGAGGGACACAGGGGGAACACAGGGGGGACACAGGGGGAACACAGGGAGGGACACAGGGGGGACACGGGGCAGGGAACACAGGGGGAACACAGGGGCAGGGAACACAGGGAGGGACACAGGGGGAACACAGGGAGGGACACAGGGGGAACACAGGGAGGGACACAGGGGGAACACAGGGAGGGACACAGGGAGGGACACAGGGGGAACACAGGGGGAACACAGGGAGGGACACGGGGAACACAGGGAGGGACACAGGGAGGGACACAGGGGGAAACAGGGAGGGACACAGGGGGCAGGGAACACAGGGAGGGATACGGGGAACACAGGGGACACACAGGGGGCAGGGAACACAGGGAGGGACACAGGGGGAACACAGTGGGCAGGGAACACAGGGAGGGACACAGGGGGAACACAGTGGGCAGGGAACACAGGGAGGGACACAGGGGGGACACAGGGGGCAGGGAACACAGGGGGAACACAGGGGGGGAACACAGGGAGGGACACAGGGGGAACACAGGGGGCAGGGAACACAGGGGGAACACAGGGAGGGACACAGGGGGGACACAGGGGGCAGGGAACACTGAGGGACACAGGGGGGACACAGGGGGCAGGGAACACTGAGGGACACAGGGGGGACACAGGGGGCAGGGAACACTGAGGGACACAGGGGGAACACAGGGGGCGGGGAACACAGGGGCGGGAACACAGGGGGAACACGGGGCAGGGAACACAGGGGGAACACAGGGGGAACGCAGTGGGGGGGGGGGCGGGGAACACAGGGGGAACGCAGTGGGGGGGTCGGGGAACACAGGGGAACACAGGGGGGGGGGCGGGGAACACAGGGGGGGGAGCACAGGGGGAACACAGGGGGGGGGGGCGGGGAACACAGGGGGCAGGGAGCACAGGGGGAACACAGGGGGGCGGGGGGGGGGGGGGGCGGGGAACACAGGGGGCAGGGAACACAGGGGGAACACAGGGGGGGCGGGGAACACAGGGGGAACACAGGGGGGGGCGGGGAACACAGGGGGGGCAGGGAATATAGGGGGCGGGAACACAGGGGGGGGCGGGGAATACAGGGGAACACAGGGGGGGCGGGGAACACAGGGGGCAGGGAACACAGGGGGCAGGGAACACAGGGGGCAGGGAACACAGGGAGGGAACACAGGGAACACAGGGGGCAGGGAACACAGGGGGAACACGGGGGGGGGGCGGGGAACACAGGAGGCGGGGAACACAGGAGGCAGGGAACACAGGGGGAACACAGGGGGCAGGGAACACAGGGGAACACGGGGGGGGGCGGGGAACACAGGAGGCAGGGAACACAGTGAGGGACACGGGGCAGGGAACACAGGGGGGGGGCGGGGAACACGGGGAACACAGGGGGCAGGGAACACAGGGGGGACACAGGGGGCAGGGAACACAGGGGGAACACGGGGGGGGGGGCGGGGAACACAGGAGGCAGGGGACACAGGGGGCAGGGGACACAGGGGGCAGGGAACACGGGGGCAGGGAACACGGGGGAACACGGGGAATACGGGGGGGTGGGGAACACAGGGAGGGACACAGGGGGCAGGGAACACGGGGGGGACACGGGGCAGGGAACACGGGGGAAGACGGGGGACACGAGGGGGGGCAGGGGACACAGGGAGGACACAGGGGGCAGGGAACGACAGCAGGGGAACTGCGGGTGACAGTGGGGGAATAAGGAGCAGGGGCTGAGAATGGGCGGTGAGTACAGGGGGATTGGGTCAAATCCTGGGATCAAGGCTGAGGTAAAGGCCAAAGTACAGAATGCAAGATTTTCTCAGAAGAATTTTTTTCCCTCCAGCACACATCACAAATACTTACTTAGCACAGAGCAAGAGTACTTTCCTTGACACAGTTGGTAAAAGGCACTGCCTATTATGAAGTTGAGCAGTACAGACCAGGAAAGGTCCCAGGCATGATCGCTGGTCTGTGTTGATTTAGGGAACACGGGTATCCTTCATGGACACTCTACTGAGGAGATTTGAGAAAATGATGCCATGGATGAGGGTCTATAGTTATGAGGTGTTATCTATCTATAGTTATTCCAGCCACCAAACCCCGAAACTCTGGAACATCTCCCTCAATGCCTCCACCTTGCCCTCTCCTTCCCCATCTTAAGGTTACGCCCGAAGATCTTCCTCTTCGACCGTGCCTACGTTCACCTCCCCCCGGCTCGGCATCGTGCTCTGCCACTGTTAAGTGCTCTGGGACACTACCCTGCTTGTGAGGCGCTGTATAAATGCAAGTTGTTGTTGTACAGTATTTAATGCAAGTTGTTGTACTTTCCACTGAAGAAGCCAACGTTGTTTTCAGCTATAAGAAGTTTCATTGAGGAATCAGCACATTCCAAAAATTTAAAAATATTGATCCTGGGAATGGAACACTTAGACCAGTGGTGGCCAACCTTCTTGGTCCGCCAACAAAATAAATGTTCTTTATTGAAAAGAGAATAGAGAATAGCACTTTGGGCTACATTCAATTCCTGGTTCTAGAGGTGCAATCTCCTGCACTAGGTTCCGCGACCCTATCACCCCCATCCTTGCCCAACTCTACTGGCTTCCCATCACACAGAGGATACAGTTCAAGATCCTGGTCCTCACTTTCAGAGCCCTCCACGGTCTTCCTTCCCCCTACCTCTGCGACCTCCTAACCCTCTACCATCCTGCTCGCTCCTTCCGCTCAGTGGGCTTCGGCCTGCTTCACGTCTTCTGCCTCACACGCCTCACTATTGGTGGGCGGGCCTTCCGCCACTCTGTCCCCACCCTCTGGAACTCCATCCCACAGTCCCTCCGCCTCACCATCTTCAAGACCCCCCCTCTTCGACCGTGCTTTCGATCTCCCTGATTCCCCCCCTGCCCTCCACCCTCCCCGACCCCCAGCTCGGGCCGAAACTTTGTCCAGCGCCTTGGGACGTCCTCCCGACGTGAAAGGTGCTATACAAATGTCATTTTGTTATTGTTGTTGTAGTTCTTTATATGATTTTTTTAAATGTCAGATTAATTCTAGAAGAAGAGAGATTGGGAGCCGGAACCTGATTTTTATAGCTCCTTTGATATGGGCTGACCAGCATTTTTAATGATATTAAACTGTTAATTACATGATCAGTTATTTGGGAATGTTCAAAGTGGTTCCTTCAATGTTCTTGATGATCCATAAGACCATGTTTGAACATTGCTTTATACTGTATTTTGCAACAAACAAAACAAAGGTTTTGAAAGTCATGCAGTATAAATAGGGGTCAAGTGAAATAGGGAATTTCACCATTAATACGTATGTCTGCAAAATACCTTTTTGGGACATACGGAAAATAAAATAAGGAAAATACCAAATTTCCTTATTTTACTTTAGAATTTTTAATTTGAAGTGCAAGTTAATGGTTAGCTCAATGGGACAATTAGCTTGTCACAGGTTTGCGCAGACTATACAAAGACCTGAACTATATTTGTACCATTGGCATCTTAATTGTAATCTTAATTGTAATTTAATTGTAACATTAATTGTAGCAGAATTTCCATTTGCTGACAGTCTAGCTCAGTAATTATTCCTGCTCAGCAATTCTTCCCACTGCGTTTCCGTGATTGAAGGGTTTGACTTTTTTTTAGAAAGAGTTGAATGTTTCTCATCATGAAATAATATGAAGTACTGGACTGTACAACTGAACTTGTTAATAAATATCTTAAAATTTACATAACTTTAAACTCCATAATTTGTTTATTTGAAAATGTGTGGACGAAGGAAATGTTTTGCCCTGCATAGAAATTGAACCCAGGTCCTCTCGCTCACGAGGCGAGTGCTGTGTCTACTATGCTACAGGACTCCATAATCCGCTACAAAAGGCTGGCTTGATTCTGACATTTCATTACCAAATATGTCACCTAAGAGCCAGGTGATCGGCACTGTGGAAACAGTTCTGTTCTGTACCTCCCTGTGATGGTTATACACTATGTACTCTAGTTCTGGAATCCCTGACTACAGGAAATAATCTTTCCCTTCACACCCTATCTAAGACCCGCTTGCATTTTTCCTAAATGCTTTCTTTGTTGCCCGTCTCTTTGATACTTATCTGATGCCTGAACTGCTTCATATTTTCTTGCCTGAATCTCTCTTTGATAACTATTTTTTGACACCCATTTTAAATGTAATTCCTTTTTTTGTTGCTTCACTGCACTATCTACACTCTTAACCAACCTGGAGAAGATTTTGCAAGTAATCTGTTCTGAAGTGTCTGGAGTGGCTGATGGGTAACTATGAGGAGCAGAGATTAGTTTTGCACAAATTACTCCTCCTCTTAGGGTAGCATCCTTTCAACCCTTCCAAATAAAAATAAAGAGGTTAAGATGAGTGATCCTGCTTTTTGGACGTGCCAAAGGTTTTGCTGATTGGTAGACACAAAAGGTAATCTGTACGAGAATATACACAACTCTTTATCAAAAATAAAATTAATAGCAATAACATAGAATGGAGTTAGTTTCTGCTTTTACTGATCCAGAACAGGAATTGGGTTCTGTGGTGCATGTGATATAATAGAAAAGGAGATGTACAGTAACAGGGATATTAGTCTGTTCTGTTAGTTTTCATCAATCAAATGCTTCATTGCATTTGAAGAAAGTACTTTGTATTCATAAATAATGCATGCTTCGTGAATTATGCATTTGTATATATATGGTAAGTGAGGAAGCCATTGTGTGAATGGAACAAAATATAAGTGGATATCTCACCTGCAGAACACTTTTTTTTGCTTCTCAGGAATATTTACTTAAGTGGAACTTGGTTTGTAATATTTCTTCTGGTTTGTCTATACCTGATCTTGTTTATCAATGCTGATTTGTTAACTAATTCAGCTTCAGAATTCAACTAAATCCTGACCACAGGTTGAATCTTGTGTGTAAAAATAGTTCAATCTAAATGTGGTGAACATTTCACAAAACTTGGGACTCAAACTAGTATAATACTACCTAATCCTGTGGGCTCCTCATTGATTAGACAATACACTGCTGTTTCCGGGCCTTTTTTCCTTTTTCTAATTGATACCCAAACTCACTAATAAGGCTAAGTCGACTAATATATTAAATGTCCTTAATAGAGAATTGGATAAACTCCAGGAGTACCCCAGCTCACATTCCGTCTCCAAGACAAGGCAAGGACTGCTCTGAATGTAGGGGGTGCTGAGGGAGGGTTGTACTGAATGTAAGGAATTCTACTTTGTTGAGCTGTGAAAATCTTGAGTGTAATGTGTTGCACGTACAAATTCTTTCCTCTCTAGATAAATTCCAGCAAGATCACAACATTTTTCGACTTTCCTATATCTAAAAAGACTTCAAAAGGTAAGTGCAATTTTCTAAATGTACTTTTAACCTCCGTTCCCTTCAATATTTCATTTTTGGAAAAAAAATGTCACCTACTTCAGCTGGAAGGTAAGGTTGGGAGAGACTGAGTCTCACTTTGGCAAAATGCTTTGTGATTGACTCCTTGGTGAAGGTTTGTTGTTCTCTTTCTTGTCCTGCCAAGGATCGTTGATTAATACAGCAGTCAGTCAGAGAACTCGAAAGTCACTCCTATTAAGGACTGGTAGGGCAAACCTGTTTCATCTGTCTGCAAGAGAAAATTGATGCAATTTCTGGTTCAGTTCAAAAGGGAATTCTATTTGTAATCCATGCAAAAAATCTGCCTCTACAGCATAATGTGTTATTATGCTGATGTCTATATTTTGAAATAATGTTCAATTCCATTTTTTTGTTAGCAGCCAAAACCCTTCACTCCCTGGCGCCTCCCTACCTCGCTGACCTCCTCACTTCACAATCCACCATTCGACTGCCATTGGCCTCCTGCTTGTCGCTCAAGCCCTTCCCCTCCACCATTGGAGGTTGTGCTTTCAACCACTATGCCCCAAAACTCTGGAACACTCTCCCTTAATCCCTCAGCCTTGCCCGCTCTCTCCCCCTTTTCAAGACCCGCCTGAAAACCTTCCTCTTCAACCGTGCTTATCGTCACCTCCTCACCCTCCCCCGGCTCAGAGTCACTGTTAAGCACTCTGAGACGCCACCCTGCGTGGAAGGTGCAATATAAGTGCAAGTTGTTGTTTCTTCAGAAGCTGACTTTTCCTTCATCTCAACAGCAAAGGGCCTATCATAATGGGGAGGTGTTAATTGTACAATTGGAAATTGTACAATTGGAAAGAATGGAGGTATTACTGTGACACTGTTCGCTGTTGGTCATAATTAATTCTTTCTGTCCTCTTGAAACGCTCAGTGCTCTGAATAAGTGTAAGGACAATATCTAAATGGGCTAAAATGTAATTGGATTTTTAAAATGGTATGGATTTTAGTACACCCATAATCTTGTCCCCCCCCTTCCCCTCATTGTAATTGATCACTTTTCTTATTCACTTGCTTTTCAGCATTGAAGCACAAGAAAACCTTAACTGCAGAGGTTAATGAGCTACTGTATTTTCCTGACACCCCTGGCAATTGGTTTAGTACTAGTTTAAAAGCAAAGCAGTATATTTTCTTAACACCCTCACAATGTCTTGTGACTGAAGCAGATAGACTATCTTTTAACATTGACGATGAACAAGACTGTGGAAATGTGCCTGCAATTATGAGGTGGCTAGATTACCGAGGTGACTGCAAACCGGGTTTCTACTGTATATCAAATGCAAGGATGATTATTGTTATCTACCGTACGGCCTGTCAGTTGAGGGTCGATAAAATGCCAACCAGTATTTTGCGTGGTGTAATTTCCATTCAGCGCTTCCACATTCAGTACCTGTGCACACAGAAAGTGATGCTGGTGGTGGTCTGATGATCTGGAACCTGGCTATTTTAACATGAGAGAATTTGGCTGCATTTTGAAGTGGCTTTCTGTGCATAGTTTTTTGAGAGGGAATGTCTAGGTCCACACTCCAATTGCTCTGTAAGCGAATCTGCATAATCAGAGTGTACTATAATACTATTTCATTGTATTTTTTAAGCAAAAAAATTAAAGCTTCTGAAATAACAACGGTGCTGAAAACTTAAGGAAATCTGGTTTCCTTTGTGTGGTGTATGCAAAATGACAAATCAAATTTGAGAAAATAACTTTTTGAAAGCACTATCATTTTAAGTTGTAGAGCTATTATAGAATATGAATCTTGAAACTGTCCTGTAATAACTTCCAGTTAAAATAATATTGCTCGACACCAATACAACTTCAGTGAGAGTTCAGCTTACTTAAGACAAGTAAGTTAGTTAACTGTTGGTGATACTTTTATTCGCATTTGTTTCAGAACAGCATTTTTAAATTATTTGAGCAGCAAAGTGAAGTAATGGTTTTTATGATTAAAATGCTGCTTGTGTTTGAATAAAAGGTTCAATTTTTAGACATTCTCTTTTCTTTTAAGGCTTGGTGCAAGCTCAGTATCGTATGCCTACTGAAATCCAAAAGCAAGCAATTGGCTTGGCATTGCAAGGGAAGGATATTCTCGGAGCTGCAAAGACTGGATCTGGAAAGACATTGGCATTTCTTATTCCTGTAAGTGATTTAAATGTAACCAAGTAATAGATTGATCCAGTAGATTAGTACTGTTTTATGGCTGATTAATAACCGGTTTAACAAACCGTAGTCAATAAATTATTCTGCTTGCGACTAAATGTGTACCTATCTGCAGATACTAGAATGCTTATACCGCCAGCAGTGGACATCTGACGATGGAATGGGTGCTCTCATCATTTCTCCCACCAGAGAACTTGCATATCAGACATTTGAGACCCTGCGAAAAGTGGGGAAAAATCATGACTTTTCTGCTGGCCTTATTATAGGAGGGAAGGTAGGTCCTGAGGTTTTTTTTAAAAAAAAACTTTTTTTTGTCTGAAACCGACTTTTTTATTGCTAAATTTGTAAATGAATTTTATTCAGCCTGCAGTCTTATCAAAATGGGTTGGTGAAATCTAAACGATTCTGTGAGAGGATGTGTTTTTCCTTTGTATTGTTTTATATATTAAAAAAGTTAGGTTTGTAAATCCTATTTGTACAAAAAAAACATAAATTTGTCTTCAGAATCATAGAATTATACAGCACAGAAGGAGGCCATTCGGCTCATCGTGTCTGTGCCAGCTCTTTCAAAAGAGCTATCCAAATCAATCCCAGCTTCTCTCACCTCTCCTCATAACTAAAGTCCCTAATTTCTGGTACCATTCTGGTAAATCTCCTTTGCACCCTCTCCAATGTCTTGACATCCTTCCTAAAGTGTGGTGCCCAGAACTGAACACAGTCTCTAGCTGAGGCCTAACCAGTGTTTTATAAAGGTTCATCATAACTTCCTGACTTTTGTATTCTATATGCCTATTTATAAAGCTTAGTATCCCGTATGCTTTTTTTAATAGCTTTATCTGCCTGTTCTGCCACCTTCAAAGATTTTATTTATACGAACCCCCAGGTCTCTCTTCTTTCACCCCCTTTAAGATTCTACCATTAGCTTATATTGCCTCTCCTCGTTCTTCTTCCCAAAATACATCACATCAAATACTTTGCATTTCTCCACATTAAATTATATCTGCCATGTGTCTGCCCATTTTACCAGTCTGTCTATGTCTTCTTGCAATCTGCTACTATTCTCCTCACCATTTACTACTTTTCCTAGCTTAGTATCATCTGCAAACTTGGAAATTGTACTCTTTATACCCAAGTCCAGGTCATTTATATAGATTAAAAACAGCAGTGGTCCCAATACCGACCCCTGGGGAACATCACTGCACTCTTCCCTCCAGTCAGAAAAACAACCGTTCACCACCACTCTCTGCTTTCTGTCTCCCAGTCAGTTCTGTATCCATGCTGCCACTATCCCTTTGATACTGTGGGCTTCTATTTCGCTTACAAGTCTCTTATGTGGCACTTTATCAAATGTCTTTTGAAAATCCATATAAACTACATCAACTGCACTACCTTCATCCACTCACTCCGTTACTTCATCAAAAACTCTTATCAGGTTTGTTGACATGATTTGCCTTTAACAAATCTGTGTTGGTTGTCCTTTATTAACCCATATTTTTCTAAGTGAAAATTTATTTTGTCCTGTATTATAGTCTGTAGGAGTTTCCCTACTACTGAAGTTAGGCTGACTGGCCTGTAGTTCCCGGGTTTATCCTTCTGCCCCTTTTTGTACAGCGGAGTAACATTTGCAACCCTCCAGTCCTCTGGCACCATCCTGGTGTCCAAGGAGGATTGAAAGATCGTGGCCAGAGCCTCGTTATTTCCATCCTTACTTCCCTCAGTAACCAAGGATACATCCCATCCGAACCGGGTGACTTATCTACCTTGAGCACCGTCAACCTTTGCAGTACCTCCTCTTGGTTTATTCTTGTCCAATTTCTCTACCCTCTCCTCTGATGCTGTGTCATTCTCTGCATCCTCCTCTTTTGCTTTATTATAGGACAAGTGTTACAAGTCAATTGCCTGACATTGATCGGTTCAGTTTGAGTTTCTGTTTAATTTGGTTTGACCTATGCAGCAAAACTGTAAAGTTGAGCTGGTAACATTTTGCAAAGGGCTGGATTCACATATCCTGTACTATTGCCAATTTTTTGACAAGCTGAATAAATATTTAAGGAAGTTGTTTCCAACCGGTCGATCGTTGCTAGGTGGCATCTCACGCATGTTTAATAAAAACAAGAGGAGGCAGAAGTGATATTTACAGCAGTTTTAACATTAAAGTTTATATTTTTATTTCGATGAAATGCTTTGTGCGTCTGGCTTCTTTTTCAATTTGACTCAGTAATGATGCCATTCTATCGCTGCTGCCGCTTGTGTTTTTGATCGACAGCGCCACACAGTGGCGATCAACTGGTTGGAGACCTCTGATTTAAAGAATAATACTTTACGAATCACTATTATTATTATCTGTTTGATAAAGAATTTGTGAATAACTTGCCATGCATTATTTGCTTATAATAGTTTTTGGACGTGGAGTCTGACAGGATCCATCGCACCAATATTATCATCTGTACTCCCGGGCGTCTTCTGCAACATATGGATGAGACCTGTTACTTTCATGCTTCTGACCTCCAGATGCTTGGTAAGCTTTAGACGTGTAAAACCGTGGCTCACTCCCTAACCTTGTTGAGATCAGTAAACTCAACCTACAGAATGGTGAACCCTGGGTGTACCTGGTCTGAATTCTTATTAAAAATACTTCGCGTGGGGACAAAAAATCCTGGAAGGGACTATTATTTGAACGGAAGGAAAATAATATGTATGGACAATGAAAAGGACCTGGGGGTCCTGATTGACAATAAATTGAAGCACTCCCAACAATGCTTTGTCAGTGAGTAAAGAAAAAACAGATTTTGGGATATATTAAAAGATCAATAGCAAGCTGAAATAGTGGGGTAATCCTAACATAACATGTAGGAGCAGGAGTAGGCCATTCAGCCCTTCGAGCCTGCCCCGCCATTCAATCATGGCTAATCTTCTAATCTAACTCCAGCTAATAACCTGATCCTGCCTTATCCCCATATCCCTTAATCCTGCCACTGTATAAATTATTGATGAGACCACACTTAGAGTACTGTGTACAGTTCTGGTCACCGTAATACAAAAAGGATATTGGAAAAATCAAAAAGATACAGAGGAGGGCAACCAAAATGATTGAGGGAGTGGAAGGACTGGACTATGAGGAGCGACTAAATAAATTGGGCATGTTCACGCTGGAAAAGAGAAGATTGAGAGATGATGTGATTGCTGTCTTTAAGATTCTAAAGGGACAAAACAATATAGATCATGACAGGCTGTTTCAACTTGTCCAGAATAGTAAAACCAGAGGACACGGCCTGCGATTGAAGGGGAGTAAATTCAGAACTAATCTACCAAACACTATTTCAGTGAGCGAATAGTGAACCTGTGGAATAGACTCCCCAGGGAGATGGTCAAAGCAGGAAGTGTTAATTCTTTCAAACACAGATTAGATAGTTTTCTTTGAGGAAATAACATTATGGGATATAGTACACAGATAGTTTGGGACATAAGTGCATGTGAACGCCTGGAAGGTGGAAGGCAAACTAGATGGACCTTGGTCTGTTTTCGTCTAGCATTTATTATGTTCTTATGATTTTTTTTTATGGATTAAATAGCAGTTTAAATGAATTTGCTTAACAACAACAAAACTACATTTGTAAAGTGCCTTTCACGTCGGGAGGACGTACCAAGGCGCTGAACAGTCGGGGATCAGCAACCACTTAAAGATGAAGGAGAGGAGTCTGAGAGTATATGACGATGTTTAAGATTCTGAAGAGGCATGCCAAGGCAAACAGAGAAAACTGATTCCTCTATTTGGGAATTATTCACAAGGAGGTAGGATTATTAGCAAAAAACATACAGTTGGAATTATACGAAATGATGTGGTGTGGACACAGGTCATTCGGCCCATCTAGTTAGTTCTTTTTTTTGCCCGAGAGGGTTTTTAAGGTGTGTAGTTCATTACTACAAACCTGCAATGAGGTTGGGTCATTAGTCATTCAAACAGGAACTGAATAAGTATCTGAATAATAACAGATTAAGGAATATGGGGAAAGATATGGAATGTGGAATTAATACTAAAAGCAACAACAACAACTTGGATTTATACAGCGCCCTCCGTGCTGGACGGCATCTCAGAGCGCTTCACAGTAACGGATCCTGGGGTCGAGCCATAGAGGGGGGGAGGAAGGTGACCAAAGGCACGGTCGAAAAGAAAGGTCTTCAGCAGAGACCTGAAAATAGGAAGAGAGGGGGTGAGGCGAAGGGAGTGAGGAAGGGAGTTCCAGAGCCTTGGGGCATAGTGGCTGAAGGCACGGCCGCTGAGGAAGGAGGAGGCCAGACCCAGTGGAATGAAGGCAACGGGCACTGTTGTGAAGAGAGAAGAGGTCAGAGAGATAGGGGGGTGCAGAGGAATGGAGGGATTTGAAGACAAGGGTGAGGATCCTGAAGTCGATCTTCACTGGGATAGGCAGCCAGTGCAGTCTGGCAAGGACTGGAGTGATTGGGGAGTGGAGTTTGGTGCGGGTGAGAATGCGGGTGGCAGAGTTTTGTATGACCTGGATTTTATGGATGGTAGTGGAGGGGAGACCGTCGAGGAGGGCATTTGAATAGTCCAGCCGAGAGGTGACAAAGGCATGGACTCGGGTTTCAGCGGCTTTTGGAGTGAGTTATTGGCGGAGAACGGAGATGTGTCGGAGGTGGAAGAAAGTGTCGGAGGTGGAAGAAAAGCAGCCACAATGAGTTGAATGGTCTTTTTGTTGAAAATCTTTATTTCTATTGTTGGCACTGTCATGATTTCCACAAAATCTATTGTACAGTTTGTGGATTGTGCATTTCAGGAGAACCGAGATGATTTATGTAATTAATCATATCCTTTCATTGGGACTTTTATCTCTTTTTCCTCTGATTTCAGTCTTGGATGAAGCTGATAGAATTTTGGACATGGGTTTTGCTCAAACAATGAACGCCATTGTGGAAAACTTGCCTAAGAAGCGCCAGACCCTACTTTTCTCAGCCACTCAAACTAAATGTGTCAAGGACCTCGCCCGGCTAAGCCTAAAAGACCCAGAATATGTTTCAGTTCATGAAAATGCTAAATTCAGGTTGGTTGCTTTTTTTTTAATAATCTATTATGGCTACATTGTATAGATGTAGAAGGTCCTTAATTCTGCTTTTTAATTCAGTCACTTTTGTTCTGGTGTATTTACTGATTGCCCTTTTTAAATGTTTCTGTGCTTGAACTAATATTGTTCCTTAATATAAATGGATGATACGGAATCGCTTTTATTTTCTGAAGTTGATGCTGGGCTTGTTGATTTGTAGACATTCCCTGCATTCGGATTACGTTTCGTCTACTCCTGTAAGTCCTCCATCATATGGATCAAAAAAGTATACATTTTTGGAGAACAGTAAATTTCTATAACTTCAGTGATGCAAAATTGGAAAGTTGTCAATTGAGAGAATGGCTCTATCTTGTGTGCCAAGCACTTCTTTTGAAAAGTTTTATGAGCTGTTCTGCTTGACATTTTTAAATGTAAATAAGTTAACTTCTCATTATCTAAGATGATAAAGGCTCTTCAGGGTGTAGATGCAGGTTTAATTTCTGGGAAGAGCTGATCTGATCTAGTTAGCTCGCTCTATTTGATCTTTACATATATTACATTGATCACTGTAGCATGGGAATGGGCCATTTGTTTACTCCACATGAGCCTCCGCACCCCCCTGATACCCTTGCCTATACCCCTTTAGGTTTTTTCCTTTATACCTTTGCACCCTTGGGCTAGGTAGAGAAAAATCAACAACAAATTGCATTTATATGAACAAGTCGTTAATTCCCAGCTTCGCTCCTTCCCCTTCCGCGACTCCCTTCACGAACCTCTCCAATCAGGTTTCCTTGCCACCCACAACATAGATAACTGCCCTGGTCAAAGTGACAAATGACATTCTGTCCATCTGCGACCAAGGCTCCATCTGCCTCCCCCCCCCCCCCCCCCCCCCCCCCCCCCCCCCCCCCCCCCCCCCCCCCCCCCCCCCCCCCCCCCCCCCCCCCCCCCCCCCCCCCCCCCCCCCCCCCCCCCCCCCCCCCCCCCCCCCCCCCCCCCCCCCCCCCCCCCCCCCCCCCCCCCCCCCCCCCCCCCCCCCCCCCCCCCCCCCTGCTCCATGACCCACTGCACCTTCGTCCTCTGCGACGCTCATCTGTTGTTTTGACCTCTCTGCTGCCTCCGTTGACCACTCTATCCTCATCCACCACCTCTCCACTCACCTCAACCTTCTTGGTTCTGTCCTTGAATGGTTCATATCATTCCCTCTCACACCGTCTCCACTTCATCTCCACAAAAGGTTTCTCCTCTAGCCCCCGCACCATCTCATTCGGCGTTCCTCAGGGCTCTATCCTTGGTCCCCTCCTCTTCATTATCTATATGCTCCCTCTTGGTGACATCATTCGCAGACATGGAATCAACTTCCACATGTACCTCTCTGCCTCCACCCTTGACTCCAGAATAACTGCTGTCCTGACAGAATGTCGGTCGGACATCAAGTCCTGGATGAGAGGACTTTCTTCAGTTGAACGTCAACAAGACCAAGGCTCTCCTGATTGGCTCCCGTCAGCGCCTCCACACCTCAGGCGCTAACAGCATCACCATCCGTGGATGCACACTCTGCCTAACTAAGCCAGTCTGGAACCTTGGCGTCCTGTTTGACCCTCAACTATACTTCCTACCCCACACCCGTGCCATGAACCGCTCTGCCTTCCTCCATCGCCCGGCTCTGCCACTGCCTCACAATGCAGGCCGCCAAAACCCTCATACACGCATTCATAATATCCAAACTCCTTGTTTGTCAGCCTCCCCAACTCCTCCCTCCATAGGCTGCAGATCTTCCAGAACTCTGCAGCCTGTGTCCTCTCCCGGACCAGGTCCGGGACCCTATCGCCCCTATCCTTGCCCGACTCCACTGGCTTCTCATCACACAGAGAATATAGTTCAAGATCCTGGTCTTCACCGTCAAAGCCCTCCATGGTCTTGCTCCCCCCTACCTCTGCAACCTCCTAACCCCCTACTATCCTGCCCGCTCCCTGCACTCAGTGGGCTCCGGCCTGCTTCATGTTCCCCGCCTTGCCCACCCCACATTGGCGGGCAGGTCTTCTGCCACTATTCTCACCCTCTGGAACTCCGTCCCGCAGTCCTTCTGCCTCGCCCCCTCCCTTGCCTCCTTCAAGACCCATCTCAAGACTCATCTGAAGATCCTCCTCTTCATGCAGTCGAAGGTTGGATGCCAAACAAGGAGAGGAGATGGGCATAGGTGTGGTCAAAGAAGTAGATTTTCAAAAGGGATTTAAAAATCTATAGATGAGGGGGTGATTTGGAGGGATTGAAGCAGGGGGTTGCAGAGATTTAGAAAGGATGCCGACCAAGGTTCCAACTTCCAATTGCTCTCCAGTTAGACTCTTTCCCTTAATTATCCTCTTGGGTGAATGACTAAGCAATAGCTTTGATGTGATAACTGGGATTGTTAAAATGCACATTAACCTCACTGCTTTGCTTCATGTATGAAGAATTAATTTTTAGGAGGACACCTGGTGTTTGTGGAGCTATACCCCCCAAAAAAAAACAGTGCCCAGAAGAGACAATTTTTTTTAACACACCACATTCCTCCGGCCCCCACACGCGCGAGAACACGCACATGCACATGCTTATTCATTAGGTTAGGTTCGGGAACTCATACTTAGTTTCTTTCAGAGTAAACCTGATCGTCTTTCCAAGCATGTCTGTTATAGATCAATATCACCACACTGGGATCTATCCAGTGAATGAGCCATTGAGATAAGTTATTTTCACTGCACAGTAGATGTGTTTAGCTTTTAATGGTCTTTGTGTTCAGTAGCATTTTTGCCCAGCAGCTATAGTAACCAATTAGGCAGTGCATGAAGGCAATGTTTTTAAAGTTTCATTTCCTTCTAAAGTTTCCATTCAATATGGGAATTTGCTCTCAATTATGTGGGGGAGGTAGGCAATTTATAAGCATTGTAGAAGTAAAATTGTGACATTGGTATTGTTTTCTTTGCCCTTTGCATAATAATAATAATCTTTGCATTTGATATCGCGCTTTTCACATCTTCTAGACGTCTCAAAGCGCTTCACAGGATATACTGTAAAGTGAATTGACTGTATATTTTGTGGGTGAAATGCGGCAGCCAATTGTGCACAGCAGTGTCCCACAAACAGTCATGGATTGAAGTGACCAAATTATTATTTTTTTGTTGAGTGATTATTATCAGGCATGTGGAGTAAGGAAACTTGCCCAAGCTTTTACCCTGCCGGGAATCGAACCCAGGTCTCTCACTTGCAAGGCGAGCACTCTAACCACTGAGCTACAGGACTCCCAAGATACTTAAGACTTTCCCTGATTTGACAACATTGTGTGCTAAACATCTCCAAAAACCAAAAACAATAATAAATTGGTCATTTTCAATCTACGACTGTTTGTGGGACATTGCTGTGCGCAATTGGCTGCCGCGTTCGCCCACAAAAAGTCAATTCACTTTACAGTGTGTTCTGTGAAGCGCTTTGGGATGTCCTCCCGACGTGAAAAGCGCTATATCAAATGCAAGGATTATTATTATTATTATCCATCATTGGATGTGGTATGGATGGTAGAGAACCTGATATCTGTGTTTAGTGTGAATATATGTGTCAGTCTGGCTCTGTTGGTAATGGTTCACCTCTCAGTCAGTAGGTTGTAGGGTCCACCCCATGCTATATTGACACTAAAGCTGGTCAATAGCAGTGGCCGCATTTGAGAAATGCTGCTCTCACTTGGTAACATCATCTGCAGGCATGAAGGAATTGCACCCAGCTCTATCCCTTTGCCTCTACTCGTGATTTGAATACCAATGCTGTTGTGACTGATTGTCTGTCAGACACAAGTACTGGATGAGCTCTAACTTTTTTCATTTGACTAAGTGGCCTAAGCCTCTCTTGCTTCGCTCTGGGCTACATTTCCTCTCCTCAGGTCTTCACCTCACAGAACCAATGTGGAATCTCTTTTGTTCGTCCTTCAAGCCGTATGTTCGGACTCTCACTCACTTGACTTTTCCTTATCTCTGCAACATTGCCTGCCTCTGCCACTATCTCTCCCTTCTACGTTGCCAAGACCCTCATCCATGCCTTTGTCACACCCCACCCTAACTGTGCGCCCTTTTGTTTTATATCTCCCTGCCGATCTACATATCCTCAACGGGTGAGCTTTCAGCTGTTCTACTCCCACTCTATGGAACTCCAACTTGGAGTTCCTCCTCTCACCCATCTCTCCCCACCTTGAGAACTATCTTTTTGACTGCGCTTTTGGTAACCTTTTCCTTCCCCCACTCCCAAATCAGGCAATGGGAAATGCTTTGAGACATCCTCCTGACGTGAAACGTGTTAATTGTTCTTGTGTTGTCTGTTATACTTGTCAGCTGATCTGCTGATCCAAAAGGTGGGTTAGGGGTTGAACACTTCACTTTATATTCAAAAAAAATTCTTATTGGTGAATGCTGGAAAGGGTTAATAAGTATGAAGATTTGTTTTTTTTTAAAAAATGTAGCCATTTAAATGGAAGGGGAAAGGGAAGATAATTTTGCCTAGAAACATAGCAATGGTAATCTTTTGAAAAAATTACAACACAAAAAGATATTTGTGAGTAATACAATCTTTACATTGTGAGAAAGCAGTATTACAATATGACAATTTTAGGAGGAAATAAAGCAGACGAGTGATCAAATACCTTAAATGTTTTGTAACTTGACTTGTCAGAATTTTTCTTGTGCCCTGTGGAAAGTAATTGCAATTATATTTAATTAACTTTCATCCAAACAAGGAATGAGAAAAGTCCACAACCCAGCTAATCCCTTCCCCGAAATTGTTGCAAGGTATCTTCCCACAGATTCCACCCAAGCCATTTATTCTCCTGAGGGTTAGTTCTAAATAAATTCTCACAGGATTAAAAGATTCTTCGGCAAATTGAAATAATAATAATACTTGCATTTGATATAGTGCATTATCACATGTTTTAGACGTCTCAAAGCGCTTCACAGAACACACTTGCTAAGTGAATTGACTATAAATATTTTGGGCGAAATGCGGCAGCCAATTGTGCACAACATTGTCCCACAAAGAGTTGTGGATTGAGTGACCAAATTAATTCCTTCTCATATCTGTAAGATTAACTCAGACTTACTATGCCTCAGTAATAAGGCAGTAATTGGGTTATGTGAATATGTGGCCTGTCCGTCTTTGTGCAATATAAATGTATTGTAACCAAATTTAATTTTGTTATTTTGAAGTCATCTATTGTTTCAGTGTCCAAGAAACTGAGGAATTTGGTCATTCCATACTTAAGGTCTTCTTTAATTGTTCTGTACATTACACATTGCTCCTTATTGTTTCCCTCCACCTAAAGAAAACTTTTTAAAAATGTTTTCTATTTCAGCACCCCAGGAACCCTGGAACAAAATTACATTGTCTGTGAGCTGCACCAGAAAGTTAACATGCTGTACTCTTTTCTGAAAAACCATCTGAGTAAGAAGATAATTGTCTTTTTTTCAAGCTGCAAAGAGGTTGGTATTTTATATTTAAAATGCTCATGGTATGCAACCACTTCTCCCCTCCTCTTTCGGCAAAATGTCCTGGGAGAATCAGTTTCAGTGTGTAAATATTTTAAAGTTTTTTGTAAGTACTGAATAAAATTCAAGTTATTCACACTAGCAGTATTTCCATGAAGCAAATGTCTTGCTATTATAATGGTATATGGGCTTAAATCTAGGCTAGAAATTAGGAGCATGATTAGCCACTGGTGAGTAACACTAAAAACAACTGACTGAGAGGGAGACTGAATTATATATGAAGTTCTGTGACATTCACCGAAATATTTAGGAAATCGAAGTGTGGTTAGGAATATTTATGTGGTAATTAAGAATCACAATCTGAGCCTCGATAGCCACTTGATACATGGATCATTAAGAGGTTAAACAATATCTTGGAGAGGTTATATTCCAGAAGCCCTTGGGTCCTGAAATCTATTATTTTATGCTGAATTTGCCAATTAACATTGCTCTTTGTAGTTGCTACAGTCACAGGAAGCTGTGGGTTCAAGGTGGTTATAAATTGAGTCCTGATTGGCAGCAGTTGTTGTCTGCCTTTGTTGTACATACTCTGTTAACACTGGTTAAAGTTGAGCTCTACCACTACCAGGGTAGAAAGATGTTAAGTATGAAGCTTTTTTTAAACTTTCCATTCCATGTCAAATTTGACATGGGTTGTTTATCGGATTTTAGAGATATGAAACTAAGACATGAGCTGAGTTATAATTTGGGATTTTTTTTGCTAATGAGCTGGTTGCACAAAATAATGGAATGGTTATTTGGTTATAACATGAGGGTGAGAAGACTTTGGGTGGATGTATAGTCTTGATATAATGTTAGATGAGATACAATTGGATATGATAAAATATACCACAGGTAAAGTTTTTTTATACAGCACAATTTCTACACTGAAATGGAAGGAAACTTCTATTTTCTAGAAGGAAACCTAGCAGTAAATAAATGGATTTAGTTTGTTGCACCTTCCTCGCCAAATTTTAATGAACTCTCCTCAAACAGAAAATTCAAACCTTGGGACTTGCATGTTGTGGAATTAATGCAAAAAAAGTTATTGGACTTTTTCCTTTTTTTCTGTGTTTCAGATACAATACTTGTTTCGTGCATTCTGCCGTCTTCGGCCTGGCGTCCCGGTCTTGCTACTTCATGGCAAGCAGCAACAGATGAAGCGAATGCAGATGTACGATGATTTTTGCCGGAAAAAAGCAGCTGTATTATTTGCAACTGACATAGCTGCTCGAGGACTTGGTATGTACACTGCAGATATAAGATGCATATTTATTGAATAATACATTTTACATTTAATAAGGGGCCTTTCACATTGGAAGGATGTCTCAAAGAATTATCCAATAAAGGATATACAATAAAGTATAGTGACTATTTTTTGTAGGTGATACCGACACCCAATTTCCACACAGCAATATCCCATATACTATCGTGAAGAAAATGATGAATTTTATTCAGGGGATTATTGACCAGGACAGCAGGAGAAAATTCCTTTTCTTTTCAAATAATACCATGGGATCTTTAATACCCACCTGAATGGGGAGACGCCACCTTGTTTTAATGTCCCATCCAAAGGATAGCTCCTTGAACAATTCAGTACATCTCCAGCAATGAATTAGAGTGGCAGCCAAGCTATAAGCTCAAATCCTGATATGGGGTTTGAACCCACGCAGTATATTCTGTGAAGCGCTTTGAAACATCTCAAAGGCCCTCTATCAAATGCAAGGATTATTATTATTTAGGCTCAGAAGTGAGAGTGCTATCAACTCATCCAGGCTGACACCTAAATTGTGAGAGTGTGGAATCATTAGTTTGACAATTATTTTTTCTTGCAGATTTCCCTGCTGTGAATTGGGTTCTTCAGTTGGATTGTCCAGAGGATGCCAATACTTACATTCACAGAGCAGGAAGGACAGCCAGGTATTGTAATAGTGTATTGCTGTGCATATCAAAATGGTCTTCTAATACAAAAAAAATCGAACTTGGGAATTTTTTTACAATTGGGATTACTCTAAAAACATTGATGAATGTTAAATAGAAAATTTAAAAAAATATAAATTTCCATTTTTATTCCAGCAGACAAATTTATTTTCCTTCAGTTTTTATTTGAGCTCCCTCTAGAAAATGTTAATGCCTTTAACATTTTCTGCATTATGCTGAGGGGCCTGGAAACAGTAAAAGGGGCCAGAGGACTGTATTTTGCATGCAAGTACATGAATGTTGCATTAGCTGAGCGCTTACATTTCACTGGTTCCTAAAATGACCTTACCAATTACAAATCTTGATTTCAATTTTTTTTCAATTGAATAGATTTAATTCTAATTTTGATTGTGGTTTCATGTATGCAGGTTTTATTTCACAATTGTGTTGTGTGTCTTGTAATCTTCCATTGAGATTTAATAACTGTATCACAACTCATTTTTCATAAATGAATGTTCAAAAATTAATTGTGCATTTGCTAAAGGATTAATTGTATGAATATGTAAATCTGTGTTCATTCAGTAGGTTTATTTGCAGTTAATTGGTAAAATATCAGACTTCAAATTGGATTTGAATTTGGATTTGGACTGCCAATGGTATCATTACTCAAGCTCTCTATCGTTCATGTATTTGCTACGTAGAATCTTTGGTTGATGTTGCTCCACTGTCAATAAATTAATAATTAATTAATTGGTGAATCAGTGACTAGAGTCCATCAATTTAAGATAGTGAGTAAATGGAGAGCTTAGGAGAGTTTTTCACACACAGGATAGTTGGGAAATGGAAGGCAGTGGTTGAGGCAGAATCCATATTAGTTATCAAAAGGGAACTGGATCCTTTAAAAGGAATCAACTACAAAGGATATGGAACAGATAGGTAAATGTGACAGGATAAATTGCTCTTAAAGTAGCTGACGCAGCCATGATGGGTCAAAAGTCCTGTGCTTTAAATTTCTACAGTTTTGTGTTTTGATTGTTGAGTTTAACTTTGCTGCCTGCATCCTCATCTGCAACAAACTCTCAAAGCCCAACACCCCAGTTCTTATCAGTCTCCACTGGATCCCTGTGTACCAGCAGATCGAATTCAAGGCCTCACTCTCATCTATAAATCTATCCACTCCTTGGCATCTCCTTATTTCTTCTACGTACACGCATCTATTTCTGGGCATCCCCATTGTTGCCTGAGCCATCTGTCCCTTATAATAATAATCCTTGCATTTGATATAGCGCTTTTCACGTCGGGAGGACGTCCCAAAGCGCTTCACAGAACACACTGTAAAGTGAATTGACTGTATATTTGTGGGCGAACGCGGCAGCCAATTGCGCACAGCAATGTCCCACAAACAGTCGTAGATTGAAAATGACCAATTTATTATTGTTTTTGGTTTTGGAGGGATTATTATTAGGCTCTGTGTGGAGTAAGGAAACTTGCCCAAGGTTTCGCCCTCTGCCTGGAATTGAACTCAGGTCTCTCGCTTGCAAAGCGAGTGCTCTAACCACTGGGCTACAGGACTCCCTTACGTATGGAACCCCCTCCCTCTTCCACATAACAACATAAGAATTTGCTAGGCCATCTAGTTCGCCATCCTGGCAGTTGCTTGATATGTTGTGTGCCAAACTATATACTGTATCTCGAGATATTATTTTCTAGCAGAAATCTTGTCTAATTTGTTTTTGAAACAACAACCTTTTCTGCTTCCACTATCCCTCAAGGGAGCCTGTTCCATAAGTTTACTGCTCTCTCACTGAAGCAGTGTTTATGCATATTTATTCTGAATTTACAAATTTCCCCTCAATCTGAAGGACAGCACCTCCATAAATGAAGTACACCTCCACTGAAGTGTCAACCTAGACTGAGAGTTCAAAGTCTTGACGTGGAGCTTGAACTCACAGAGCAAGGGTTTTACCAATTGAGCCAGGATTTCATGCGCACACACTTGATCAATCTGCTTGTGAAGTTGTGAATTCTGTTGGATACTCCTTCAAGAGTAAATGACAAACAACAATAGGGCCAATAAGAAGAAGGGCAGGAAGTACAAAAGGGACGCTGGGAGTGAGACAAAGAGTGTGTTTTTTGAGTGGTGGATTATTGAGAGTTTGGATTGACAAATAAAGAGGCTACTAACGCACCCATGATTTGTATCAAATTATATTACAAATTCTACTACGACTGCCCTGAGTCTATTTTGAGGTGTTGCCTTTATGAAACTTGTTTATCAAATCTTTCCATTCAGATACAAGGGCAACACCCAAAACATTAATTTTTCGGTTTTATTTCAAATTTCAAGCATTTAAGTTTTACCTATGTGCTTTTGCAAAACTTTTTTATTTACAAGCATATTCGTCAGACTGAGTTGCAGATGTGAGATAGTCGTGCTGGCGCCTATGCCCTTAACTATTGTGACTCAGTGATCCTTGTGCTCTGCTGATTTTTGCCGGTAATAATAACAATAATATAATATTAATAGTCCTTACATTTGGTTTTGGAAGTTTCCAAAGTGCTCCACAGGATATACTGTAAAGTGGTGTGACTGTGTATTTTGTGGGCAAATGCGACAGCCAATTTGTGACCCCACAAACAGCCATGAAGTGAATGAAAAATTTTATTCCGGGGATTGTTGGCCAGCCAGGACACCAGGAGAGAGAAACTTTTTTTTGGTAGATGCCAAGATTCCAATTTCCATTCAGTTCACTGCAAAGAGCTGCTTGGTAAATCAAAAACTATAAATCTTGCATAATGGTTACATTAGCTGTAATGTACCGCTTGTGCTACTCACCTTGATTTCTGCCCCTCTCTGATTTTTCAGATTGGAAAATGTGGTTCTGTTCTCATGACATATGGAACATCATTGAAACTATCTCTTCGGGCTGCAGTTTTTTCATTATTAAAGACTTTGGGGATGATTCCTATCACTTGTAGTTCTATTCGCTTTATGCTTTAAATAAATCTGATTTTAAAATTTGGTTCCTGTTTGATAACAGAATTGTGAATTCATCAGATTGGTTCGGAATTTAAAACAACAATTTAATTGGAGCGGAAGAAATGCGGGATACGGCATTGTTTAGACACGTTTTCTTATTCCACAGCACGCCTCTGTTAACCGAGCAGTTAGTAGGAACCAGATTGTTAGTTGATTGGTGGATCACTTTCTGGAGGTAATGATCAATCAAAAAAAATTGGTCACTCAATCCACAACTGTTTGTAGGACGCTGCTGTGCACAATTGGTTGTCGCGTTTTGCCCAAAAATACAGTCAATCCACTTTACAATAAATTCTGTGAAGCGCTTAGAGCCTTCTAAATGACATGATAAGGGGCTATAATCAAATGCAAGGATTATTATTATTGAGATGCATTTCTTTACTACCAAAAAAGGTGAAAACAAACAGAAAAGGGTTTGCAAAGCACTGCCATGAAGGAATTGTTGCAATGAACAATATGCAGTTTGAATGCAGTTCATTGAAGTGAGCAGTAGATCTTTGGTCCAGTACATATCTGCTGCTGTGGTAAGAACATTTTAAGTGGAAATAACCTGTGGAAAAGAATATCAGTACTGAGCAGCAGGTTAAGGTTTAAATTTTTTTATTAAGTACATTTCTATTGGATCTGGCAATTCTGGAAAATGTTTGAAAGGATGTGATATGATTTCTAAAATCTGTCATACTTTATTCAGTGGAGCACAACATTTTTAAAGTGTTTCAAAAATGTATTGATATTCTCACAGTTGGTTTTAAAATTCTTTCTATAGCAACATGACTGGACTGTACCTGCAGTGTATATTTAAAGTACATTAAGCAAGTTGTATAGGAAGGGGTGAAACATAAAACTTGTCTCCTTGAGTTGACCGGCTTGCTAAAATATTCATAAGAACATAAGATCTTTTAGGAACAAGGAAAACTCCATTAACCCTACCTTTTCACTAATCCTTTTTTTCTAGAATCTTGTCTAGGTGGCTTTACTGACCATTTATACCGATGGCAGCACATGTAATTTTTAATGAGCAAAGAAAACTCAAGAGTCCTAAATAATTAAGTATTTTCCATTCCAATTCAGTCTGGGGTGCTATTTTCAGGGTGTGAAGCTGCTTACCTTCCACAAGCACATTGTAAGATAATAGTACTCCTGTGCATATCTGTCCTCCACAGATAGAACTTTCCTCTCCTCCCCGACTCCATTCTGTCGGACATGACTCGGTATCTAGTCCCTAGCCCCTTCCACTCTTTTCATTAGTGATCTGCCTGTCTCAGTTGGTAGTACTCTCCCTCCAAGTCAGAAGTTTTGGGTTCAAGGCCCACTTCAGGGTTTTGAACTCACATACTCTAGGCTGACACTTCAGTGCAGTGTTTGTCTTTCCGATGAGATATAAGGAACCACCTGGCTGTTAAAATGAAGTTTAAAGATTCCTTAACACTAATCGAAGAGTCACTTGTATGTAAGAAACAGGATCAAAATGTGCAGCAGTTATGAGGGATTTGGCTTTCATCATCTGTTACCATCTGGATTTAGTGCCTATTCTTTACTGTTACTGTTAATGGTGACCTACTGTCTCTTTTTAAAACTGTCACCTATAACTGCTATAATTGCAGACTTGAGATGTACATTGCTCAGTGTAAGCTACTCAGTGGATTCTCTTTATAATAACGTTTAATAGTTTTACATATGTGATTTATTTTTTGCTTTGGCCAACTGGATGTCTGACACATTTGGAAACCCATCTCAGCATTCAAAGTATCAAAACCAGTTAACAACAACAATTTGCATTTGTATAGTGCTCTACACATAGAATAACATCTCATAGTGCTTTACAATGTTGGGGCATACCCAAGAACCTGAGAATTGCACATGTGTATGCCAGCTTCACATGGAACTTTCCCTGTGTCTGGAATGGAATATGCACTCTCTCCCTGTAGAAACACATCTCTGTTTACCTAATTCCAGATTGTTTTTGGTGAGGATTGTGAGAGCCAAGGCTTGGAGACCCCACCCCCCCACCTCTGGGGTACTGATGGCCGCCTGGCTCAGGAACCGGCCCAGGCTACCAAGACCACTGAATTGTAACACTCCATTGTCTTGCATGTCACATTGGAGGCAGCTCAGCTCCAAGGAAGCCCGGCGTACCCCACCAAACATGATCTAATCTGTTGATTTTTCTTTCTTACTCTTGCATCACTATACCACTAGATGGCAATACTATACAGAAAGCCAGTCGACTCGGAGGCAGTTTGAATGAAAATTTAGTTGGTTACATCCATTTAATCATGAGTTTGTGCATCAGATAAATCTAGAGCATTGAATACCGTTGCATGTTTATAGACCATAATGCTTGAGATTGTCTATTTTTATTAATTTTATATTCCATTGCAGGGCAGATGAGCAGAAATATTAAAATAGTGCGTAGGATTATTTATGTAAACTTGTGTTCTAAACTGTTTATCTTTGCTGAGCCATGTTTCCAGAATTTGGATTGCACAGGAACAAAATCTTTTTCAGCAATCTCAGCACCAAACCCTGCACAGGGTCTGGGTCCTTGGATCACAAATAACTTGAGTGGTGTGTACTGCCCCACTGCTGCAATTTGCTTTCCCAGCTGTGTATTTCTGATTCAGTTAGGTGTTTTCTGTTAAACATTGGTTGGGGGGGGTGGGTGGGTGGAGAGAGAGAGAGGATCAACTTTTATTGATCTTGCAAATCTGATTGCAGAATCAATTGGGATGTTTGAAAGACAAATGGACATTCAACAAGTAAGGGTATTAAGGGAAATGGAGAAGTTAGCAAAATGGAATTAAAAATCTACACCCTCTAATAAAATGGCAAGTTAGGCTCAGCACTCTGAATGACCTATTCCCATTGACCTAAAAGAGTTGTGAGAAGGAGATAAATAAAACAGCGTTTTGAAATTTTTTGAAAGGTATGGTGGTTTGGAGGATTATACAGTGATACTCAGCAGGGACACTCACAGTTTCAGAAATTGATGCATCATGGAGCCTGGGATGTCTTGTAATTGGGGGTGGGGTGGGGGCAAATATGAATCTGATCACTCTTCAGTAGCTCCTGGTGGTTAGTTATGGAGATAGCCAGTTTCCTGCAAGATTCATTTGATACATCTGTCGGTCATCCTCTAATAGCTCAACATCCTTTCGATGTACAGGAAATTGTCCTTTTCCCTTTTCAAAAACTTTTCGAAACCTCGTGCAGTGTGTTTGGCTCACATATTCTTTGTCAAATATGTGAAGACGAACAAATTAAATCTGGGAGAACTAGTAGTGTGTGTTATAAAAAGTAACAGACTACCTTATGCAGAATAATGCTGTTTATATATTTGTAGCTTTTTTAAGCACCTTTTTTGTTACAGGAAATTATAGTTCCTAGTGAATCACAATGGCCTTAAATCTGTAGTTCATTTTACTGGAATGGTGAAGAGATTATAGAAAGCTTTCATAGACTGGGATTAAAGTTAGTTCATGGTTTGATATACTGTACTGCTTGTGAGTGTAATCATAAATGCTAGGATCAGATGTAATGAAAAGATAACCTGCTTTAGAGAGCTGTGTTTTGCTTTGAATTGAATTCTGCACGCTCTTTGTCTGCAATTATGTAATCAATGAGATTGGAGACCGGGTACATTCAGAGTACTCCCATCACTCATTCTTGAAGAATATTACTAGAAAAATTCCAGGTGATTGATTTGACTGCTCTGTTCCCCTGTAACTTTACTGCATTACATTTGTAGTGCATTAGAAACTGTTCATAACATTTCACATTTTCTCAAGTCTGTAAATTACCTTGAATGCTGAATTCCCAAAACAAGGCTGTGAACTAAATAACATGCATAGGGTTAGGACAGATCTCTGGGGAAAACTGCATTTTGATAGATAAAGAGTGAAGTCCCTAGTACTAATAAGTGTATTTTTAAAAATTTAATGCAATGTTGAATATATACGTTCCACTGATAATCTTTATTGGAGAAAGATTAATAATGTGTGCTAAAGTAGAAGCCGCCCTAGTGTGAACATTTATTCTATAAGCAGTGAGTAGATGTTATTGATAATATTGTACATTGCTGTTTATTTCAAAGGAAACTCAGTGTCTGATAAGGTGGTTTTAGTGACTCACATTAACTAACAAAAATCCTTTGTAAAATCCTTTTTTTAAAAAAATTGATGCAATAAGAGAGTAGTTTGTTACTGTATCCATAGGTGGCTTGATGGACTGCTTATGCTATTCTGACTGGGAGTCTTTTTACTTTCAAATGTGTCAGATTTTTGTTCCTATTTTTAAAAAAAGACTGATGCAAAGGTTCCTTTATGCAGTTACCTAATACCAGTCAGTGAAACCACCATATGAGACGTTATTGTCTCCTCCCCACAAATACATTGTATTGCTGCATCATAGCTTGTGCTGCAAGCGTTTGCTACTTATTGCAGTTATTTCTGCAAGAAAGGCCTTTGCAAGAAAATTTCCAAAATCTGAAAGGGGCTAACCGTAAATTGAAGCATTTCATTTTTGAAGCAGAAAGCAAGAATGGCCAGCTAGGAACCTGATTTGATACAGGCTTGATGTAAGTTGATTGATTGAAACCATTTCAGAAAACGTCACGGTTTGTGTGTGCAAAACCCATAAATTCTACCTTGCAAATGATTGCCTTTGCTGCAGGATCCTGCATATTTCTTGTCTATGAATAGTTCTATAAAATAGAATTCTTTACTGACCCTGAATTAGCAGATCAGATGGGCATCTCAGTCTGCGTGGAAATTGATGGGTACACCAGGAAATTGACATTGGTAAAAAGCAATTTTATAGCATGAAATCTAGCTTTTTAAGCTGTAGTTGGTTTGAAAGAAATCCACATTACAGTTAATTTGTTTACTTGCAGTACTGTTAAAAAATGGTATCAGGTCTATCAATTTCTAGGGGGAGTTTGTGCAGCAATACTGTACCTTGCAAGTAATAATAAGCTCGTAGAACATATTTAGTGCACACCAACCATACAGATTATCAGTTTAACAACATTTTTTCTGAATACTTGATTCTTCAGCCTTAGTCTGTACTGCAGATGTCTCATAAAATGCCATTGAAGCTGTGAATGATTTTCTGGATGCTGAGTGAGCTGGCATCACTCATTCCATTTGGAATATATTTGCTGATGTGACCCAACCTACTCAACAGACCAGCTCACCCTTTCTAAAAATTTTACTAAAATGTTTGGGAGATTTTGAATTTCTTGCTGTGTGGATGCTATACACTGCGAATGCATGTAGCTGGCCAACTTGCTGGCTGTTTTTTGCAGTAAAATAGCAACCTTCTGGTTAGGTTGCAACATTCGCTTCCTGTTTGCGCATGCACATGAATCAAAGTGATGTTTGCAGTGACTTGATCAACTGGAAAGTGGCTGTTTATTACTGTGGGAACTGGCGCACAGGGAGTGACCCAATTGGCTGGGTGAGTATGCAGTGAAACCGGGCGTCACACCTAGTTATAGGCAGTTTAGTATTTTATGGATTCCAACTACTGGATAATGAGGCTCCACTCATGAGTCACTGCAGCTTTAATAGTTTGCTATTTTAATAATGTTGATTTGTTCTGCAGAGATTGCTGTTAAAAGGTGCTCTTCTCTTATTTTTAGGTACAAAGAAGGAGGTGAAGCATTGCTAGTCCTTCTTCCATCAGAGGAAGAAGGCATGGTGAAACAGCTAGAAGAAAAAAAAGTTCCTATCAACAAAATAGAGTAAGACTTTTTAATCAAAATCAGCAGCAGAATGGCACAATGCAATATTTTGCTACTGTTTGTGGATTCTATTGGGAAGGCAAATGCAATCATTGCATGTTGAGTGTTGAAAACCATGTACCTCCTAAAGTGAGCATCTATGTGGCAATGTCTACACTTGGAGGTCTGATTTCATTTTCTGGATGTTTCAGTACAGAATGCACATTTATGAAGTAGTTAAATTCTGACTCTACATTCTAAATTTTAAATACGCTTCTGGATCATAATGTGTTGGAAAGAAGTACTTTCAAGAGTAAACTTAGCTGATTAGATTCCAGCAGTAATCCAATGCATAATCTGGGGTCTCCAACCCTTTGCTTTTGCCAATCTGCACCTAATAATTTCCGGAATTAGGTAAACAGAATGCGTTCTTCCAGCGAGAGAGTGCGCATTCCATTTCAATAAATATCTTGAATTTCCATGTATAGGTGGGATGCTTGGATCCTCTTAAGACTGGTAATGGGTTTCTGCATGTGCCACACGCCCAACTCATGGAATGTTCTACATCCCTCCTCTTGAATGCATCATTTTAAATATCAAACACTGAGGTTCATTTTTTAATTCCTTCCACTTGCTGCAGCCCAATACATTTTGGATCTTTCCCTTAACCTGGTACTCATCCAGTTTCTTCAGACAGTTTCTCCACATAGTATAATGCTTTCCTATTCTTGAATTTGTTTAGCTCTAGTTCCTAAGGTTGAATCTTGATAATTTGTTTTAATGGACACTCTCCAGTGAATAATTGAGGTTGGGAAATAACTGAGTCCTTAAATTTTGCTCACACATATGGTACTGGAAGACTGGGTGTTAACGGGCTGTGAGCTGTGAATTTAGAGTTTTAATTTGTACACTTTTGCTGTAGTTATTTATAAATAGAAACTAATCAAAAGTCTTTGTTTTTCCTCAATTTTATAGCCACCAACCTCTTAACAGTTAGCATTTTTCTTAAAATTTTGTATCATCCTTATGTAGCTGCCAGAGACTGAGGCTAGCAATATGTTTTTTTTGTTTTCTATCTAGCCAGCAATGTGCCTTGGGGAAATTATGTTGGCTGAAAATCTAAGTTGTCAATTTCTACTTTCAAATATCCAAGTGTATATAATTAAATATGAATTAATCTTCAATAAGCTTTGTGCTAGTTACAGAGAGGCAGTGTTCTCTGTCCATTGGTTAAAGGGAATAAGGTAAAATGATTAAAGTTAGTTGAAAACTGAAGTTTTTCCTTTCTAACACTCAAGAAATACAATTCATGTGACTTTCCAGTATTGTTGCTTCTTTCCTAAACAATCAGTATTACTGATTTAAACGCACAGCAGTTTTACATATGTAGTTTCTCCCATTACTCTTAACTTGCTGAAATCACCATATATAGATAATGACATTGTTAACTAGTTTCTTTAAGGTCTTTGAACTGGTTAGCTGGCATAAATGTTGAAAATGTAATCCTTTGCTAAGACGTATTCCCCAGGCAGAATTTGTGTAATATTTTCCCTTTGTAAACTGAAAACAAATTGGGAATGCCGTGGTATAAATAACTTAATGATCGATGCATTTATCAGCGCACGGAAGACTATCCTCAAGAATGCTCGATTGCAATTAGGGAGCTGTATTCTGGACAAGAATCACTTATCTCAATTAATTTATTTCTGTCATGATTTAATTGCAATTATACCAAATGCACAGATATAGGGAAAACCTCAATTATCAGGATAAAGGAGATCACTCCACGCCCCCACTGATCTCCCATCCCCCCACCTCCCCATGGATAATTGAAAGAGGCATAAAAATATTTCATTGGATGTTGATGTTGCTTGCTCCATTTCTGGATATTGTATTACTATCTGGTATTCTAAATGATTAATGAACCCTAAAGTAGCTGAATAAATGTGGAACAGGGAATCTGCTTTGCACCTGGTCCACGTTTATTAACACTTCTATTATAAATGCTGACCATGAAATCATGTGTTCCGATGGTCATAAATTTTGTCCTGTCAAGTTAAGCATTACCCATTCATTTTCATTCATAACCCAAGCCAATCAGGTAAAAGCATAGAACAATCTTGATGGTGTAGAAACAGAAGTTGACTTTTATTATCTAAAGCTAAGACAATGCAAAGTAATGGGTGGAGAGCCAATTTCAGCAAGGTTGGACTGATGTGCCAGGTGCTTCTCATTGCTTCTGGGTTGACTTTGGAATGTGGATTGTAACCATTCTGGTTATAGGATTTGTTAAAGGTCATATATTTACCCTCAAGGATGTTTCAGTTATTTCCAAATCTAAGTTCACCAAGACCCAAAGGGGGAGCTAGAAAGAAAATGGGTCATTTTATTTGACAGCCCTCCCACCAAACCAACTAATATGGTCTTTGATGATATCTAAAACATTTAGTTTAAAAGTCTGCAGATAGCACACAGTAAATATGTCATGTTCTTCCTCCTTATAACAACAGGAACGCAATCATACAACACCCTTCATGTGAGGATGCTGTTAATCTAGTCATTATTGAAGTAATTGAAATCCCCAATGTTGTGGCCTTTTTATAGGTCTCCACAGAATCTTGTTTTGATTATTGATCCAAATGTGCTTATTATTGAAGTACTTAATGCTTGTTAAGGATTAATGTGTCACTATAGCAATTTGAAAGTGAGAGAGGTTTTGTAAATGTTTTTGATCTTTTTAAACAGAATAAATCCGGGAAAACTAACAAATGTGCAGCCAAAGTTACAATCTTTTCTAGCTGAGGAACAGGAGCTGAAGGAACGAGCTCAGCGGGTGAGTTTCAGATTCTAAAAAATTGTGATCCTGTCGAATAACTTTGTTAGATTTGATTATAGAAACTGAGAATTCCAACGGTTTACAATTCAGTTGCCTGCAGGTGCTAAACTTGGGTTATGTGTTGGGCATTTAGTGAAGAGAAGAAGGGAGAAAAGACGATGCATGCTGAAAGCCAGAAGGTGGTTATATCTGATCTGCACAATTAAAGAGTTCAATATATTTGGATTTGTTATGTTGTAATGAATATTAATATTTCTATTGAGCCAGTAGTTTTGTAGCAATATATGTTTTATTAGACAACTTGTATTTATATCGCCCTTCATGAGGGATAATGTCTTGGAGTGCTTCACAGACTGGGTTGGATGCTGAGTGGCATGAGGATAGGAGCAGTTGAAGAGGGTAGGATTTGAAGACCATTAGAGAGGGGCAAGGTGAAACAGGGAGAGATTTCCAGAGCTTAGGAGCTGAAGGCTCGGCTATGGATGACGGCATGTAGGGGACAAGTTGCAAGTCTGATTTAGCCAAGCAGAAGAGTAGGGTAGGAGATCACAGACTTACTGAGGTATGAAGGGATTTATAGGTGAGGGTGAGAGCCTTAAAGTTGAGCCAGTGGAGCCTGGTGAAGACAGAGGTGATGGGCATTAGGGGTTTGGTGTGAGTAGAGTTGTGGCGGTAGAGCTTTGTATCAGCTAGTGTTTATGGATTTCAGTTTGTTGATCATTCATCCCTTCATGTCTGAGCCATTGCTAATATTTTCTGTTTTTCTGATTCTCCTTTTTTCTCCCCCAATTAATTCTACTTTCTAGCTCACTCCATATCTCTTAATGTTTTAGGATTATCCCGACTCAGCTGGTTGTACTCTTCTTTCTGAATCAGAAAGTTGTGAGTTCAAGCCCGACACAGTATAGGGTGACACTTCAATCCAGTGTTGAGGATGGGCTACATTGTTGGAGGTGCTGTCCGTCAGATAAGATGTTAAACCCAAAGTCCTGTCTGCCTGTCCAGTGCACCAAAGGTCCAATGGCACTGAAAAGAGAACCGAGTTTCTCCTGGTATCCCGGCCAACAAACCCCAAATAGAATTGTTCATTTACTTCATGACTATTTGGCTGTCACATTTGCCTATAGAATACAAAGTCACTGTACTTCACAGTAAATCCTATGAAGCACTTTGAGGCGTCCTGTGACATGAAATTTAAGGATTATTATTACGTTATAATATTTCTTTTCAGCTTGATAGACTATTCAAACTGTCCAGGTTATGTTATTATTGGAAGCCATTTTAACAGTGCTTTTGATCTGATTTTATTTTGAGAGTTTTGCCTATTTGGTGAGATTAATTTAAGGCTGGAGCTCCTCTGATGGCCTATTGCAGGGTGGTTCAACCAATTCCACCCCCTGCCCCCCCGTGTGGTGTTGGTCAGGACAGGATTGGCTGCGATGCTCTTGGTATTCTTGTTCTCCACTAACACTCACTATCAAGGCCAAATAATTAGGACATTCATTCAAGAATGTGTCCAGAATGTATGGAAGCACTCCAGTTGGAGAAAAAAAAATGTACGCAAGTAATATTCGAGGTTAGAAATAATAATGTAAAAAAGTTGTGTTTTGTGCATAAACGTATTTAAAATTGTATATTTTTTTGTTTAAATTTACTGTTTTATTGCAGTATAGTATTTTGTGTTCTGTGTGCAGTCAGTCTGCCTATGACTGTGATTGTTTTGTATTTCTGAATATACTGAAAGAAAAAAATTCCTGTGGACTCTGTCTTATGTGATAGATTACCACAGGTTTAATTTTGTGTTTTTTTTCAATATCATACTTATTTTACTTAACTGGAGTAGCTATACCAGCATTTATGGTTAGCAGCACTAGGAACTTAACAGCAGGAATTGGTACATATGTTGTGTGGATTCAATTGAATGATTGATGAAGTTTTCGAAGGGTTTTGTTCTGAGAAGGTGAGATGGGGTCAGCTTGATGGGCTATCCTGCTATGTTTCTATCAGGGTAACTGAATATTTCAGATCCAAGTAGAAAATTTGTAGGAATAAATACTAAGGAGTTCAGACATAGCAAATAAGTAATAACAAGCAACAAATGTAATGTGTATATAATTCAGAAATACAATGTTGCTGATTTATTAAGTGGTTAACAAAGAAACAATCGGCTCTTTGTTTTTTAATTAAATAAACTAACATTGATATTGTTTAAAATATGCAAACTTTTTTTATTAAAGTTTACTGTTTTATTTTACAGTGTTTTGTATCCTACATGCGGTCCGTCTACCTCATGAAGAACAAAGATGTTTTTAATGTATTTGCATTACCATTAAAGGAATATGCTCTGTAAGTAGGTCAATTTTGCTTCAGCACCTTGGAGTATCCTCATGGCGTGAAAGATACTATATAAATAGTATTTATTTAGTCCTGTAGAAGCACTCGGCTCTTTGTTTTTGAATTAAATAAACTAACGTTGATATTGTTTAAAATATGCAAACATTTTTTATTAAAATTATTATTTATTCATGGAGTCCTGTAGCTCAGTGGATTCGATTCCCGGCAGGGTGAAACCTTGGGCAAGTTTCCTTACTTCACATGACTGATAATAATCCCTCAAAAAAAAAAATTGGTCATTTCAATCCACGACTGTTTGTGGGACACTGCTGTGCGCAATTGGCTGCCGCATTTTGCTCAAAAATATACAGTCAATTCACTTTACAGTCTATTCTGTGAAGCGCTTTGAGACATTTAGAAGACGGGAAAAGCGCTATACCAAATGCAAGGATTATTATAAATGCAAGTTATTGATGTTTAATCTTCCACGGTAGGCAAGGATACCAATGTGGTAACAGTATAGTTCTGTCACAGCTGTGGAGCAAACAGCAGCTATATTTGTCATCAAAGCTGGGTGTTTTTACAAGTGCTTTCCCTTTGCACCACTCAGGATACTTTCTATGGATATTTAGAGACCTGCTGTCACAGGAATATTTATCTTCCTTCACTTCCTTTTCTGACTCTTAAATTACCTTTTCTGATTTGGGTAGTGACTGGGTGAAATATTAGCCATAGTATACCTGCATGAGTTTTTGAGCAGTAAGACTGAGAATCAAGATTAACAGAGGATAAAATTACTGATCGTTGAAAGCTTGGTATTTTGACCAGATTGTTATCCCGGACAATATATTCTCCTTTCCATTGAGAAGAATGGATCTTCTTCCTCATAAATTAAAGGTGTTTGGGATTCTAACCCCAACCAACTTTTGCTTACTGTGTTGTTGAAACCCCATCTACAGTGTAAGGTATCCCCAATGGGACACATTTATTTTAACTGAAAGTCCATTCATAAATAAGATAATAATTTAAGGAAGTATTTTGTATTAGTGCACATTTACTTTTTATGTTTTTTTTAAAAATGCACCAGGTCTGTTTGTATAGTTTGGAGTCCATCCTGGAAGTGATAAGTTAATGAATAACACAAGTCCTAATTTAAGTATGCAGATTAGATCAGGTATGTCACAACGTCTTGTAATTTATTTCAATTAAAGTTACTAAAATTGGAAATATTTTTGTCTCCAGTTCCTTGGGTCTTGCTGTACTTCCACGAATCCGATTCCTTCAGAAAGCACAGCAAGAAAAAGAAATGGCTCCTTCAGCACAAATCAAGCCATCTGCTACTAAAGATACTGAGGTTGAAAGTTCTGAGGAAGATGTTCATGAATTAGAAAGCTTCAAATGCCAGTTAAGGGACTACGGATCCTCTTCTCAAATAAAGGCTGGCAGTAAAGCTGCCAAAAAAGGCATTCAAGATAATCATGAAAATTCTACAGATGAAGATGGAGATTCGAATGACTGTGAAGAGACTGTGGAGAAGAATGAAGTTGCATTTTCGGGACAGTTTTTTGATGATGATGATGATGATGATGATGACAAGGGAGATCTGCTCACTGTGAAGCGACGGAATGTTTTCGCCCTTGAAAGTGATTGCAAAGTGGTAAGTTGTACAGTAATCGACCATTTATCCCGAGGGTAAGGAACATACATAGGAACTATATACAATACTGTTCTATTCAAATTTCACACTCCTTTTTTGGGGATAAAATAAATGCTACTATGTTGACTGCAACATTGAGATGAAAGAAAAGAATAACTGAGTCAGACACAGAGAGAGAATTAAAAACAATTGCAGCAACTGCTTTCTGTATTCACTCTGAATCTTAAGCACTCCGGGGTCCTACCCCGTGTGAAGCGTGCTATATATCTGCATGTTGTTGTTCAATTTTTTCCAGACAGGAACTTCTGAATGAAATTGCACACTGTAATTTGCTTTTAATTAGTCATCCATGCCATTGCCAATCCCATACTTGACAACATTAGAAAGATGTGATATCTATCTGCCTTACTTTAAACTGGAGTTTTAGGGGCATTTTTGTAAATCTAGTCAGAGCACCAAAATTGCAAGCCATCTTGGTAATCATACATCATCTTGACAATTGAGCACATGTCCGAGGGAAGAGTGAGAGTGAATGAGACATAGTATGCCAGGTGAAAGAGTGACTGAGTAAGAAGACTCATGAATGTGACTGTGTGATGGTGTGTGTGTGAGATAAAAGGCAGAACAGAGAAAGTGTTGCACACAAGGAAGTCACAAGGAATAGACAGATGTACATTGTGTGTGAAAAAGAGAAATGAGTGAGAACAGAATAGATGGTAAAGAACAAGTAAGTGTAAGAGACAATATCCAAGTGGAAGAGGAAACAAAAGATTCACAGAGAAACACTGACAAGAGATCGACTCTAAGTGCCACTACAAACCCACAGGAGATGGGATAGGCATAAAGAGGGGCAAGAGATGAAAAGTGAGGGTGAGAAAAGTATAAGGAGACATGGTGTGAAGTCATGGGACAGTGACTTGTTTACAAACACAGAGTGCCAATAGCTTGCTTCGATATACTTTGATTAGGTTTTAATTTGTGTGTAAAACCTTCCATTGCCTGTACTGGGTCAAGCCACTTCATTCATTGAAGATCTGCAATCTGCAGGAGTGCAACAGTGTCCATGTGAATGCCAACAAGCAGCAAAGTATAAGCAATAATGAGACTTTTGAATAAATAGTTTGACTTGCAGCATAATGGTTGCGATTTAATGATTTAATATTTAGCATAGCTACTTTTGATCATTTGACATTTGCTGCCTTAGTGGAAACAGACTGGTTGGTATCTGATTAATTATGCGTGATGAGCTTTGACCTGTTGCTGAACACAAATGTTTTCAATTTATCTCCTTTCTGTACTTGCTTGTTTGGTTAAGATGATTGTTTCTGCAGTGTTTTGAGCAATATCTGAAATTGTATTAGAGCTATTGTTTGTTTGCAAATTTTGAGAATTGTGTGGCATGTGCATTAATAATAATAATAATCCTTGCATTTTGATATAGCATTTTTCACTTTTTTTAGACATCTCAAAGCGTTTCACAAAAAATACTGTAAAGTGAATTGACTGTATACTTGTGGGCAAAATGCGGCAGCCAATTGCGCACAGCAGTGTCCCACAAACAGTCATGGATTGAAGTGACCAATTTATTAGTGTTTTTTTTTGAGGGATTATTATTAGGCATGTGGAGTCAGGAAATTTGCCCAAGGTTTTGCCCTGCCGGGAATTGAACCCAGGTCTCTCGTTTGAGAGACATTAGTTTGGGGCCTGCCCTTTTGAAATGATTAATGCGTGCAAACACAGAACAGTATCGTGTACGAATGGGGCAAGTCGATCCAGTATGATTGGAAATGTAGAGACTAAAGCTAGACTGTTAGCCAAGTATGAACTGCCTTTTTGCAGCAAGGGCTTAAAAAGATAACATACTAATATTAATTTAGATTTTGCCATTAAATGTGGCTGGTCTGTTCAGTGTAGCTCAACCCACCATCTACATAATTCACTGAAAACCGCTATCAAAATATTAGAAATTGGTATAATGGCTCCATGGTATAATGGAAAGGTAGCAGTGTGGATCGAAGATTGGTTAAAGGTTGGAAATGGGGTGGGAGTACAGGGTTGTTATTAGGATTGCAGAGTTTTAAATAGTTGTGCCCACTCAGACCACTATTTTTCTCCGTTTATATGAATTCAATGGAAGCCGATTAAGCCAGACACATCGAGGGACGGACCAAGAGATATGCAATTTGCATCCAAAAAAGGTTGCTCATTGAGTCTCCATGTGGCTGAGTTAGCTGTAAGGTAACCTGTTTTGCAACAGAAGTTCAGAATCAACTTGTCCCCAGGACTCCAAGGCATTCTTGTTTGTAGATTAATCAGTCCAGTGATGGTAGTAGGTATTCGTTATACCATGTAAACCAAAGTCCTAACAGATAGAGTGGTCCTGGTGGGAGGCTTGTCAGACAGTGCTCATCATGATAAGCCTGTTTAATGTGGTTTTACTGTAGGATTGGTCACTCAGTCCATAACTGTTTGTGGGACACCGTTGTGCGCAATTGGCTGCCGCGTTTCTCTCACAAAATATATAGTCAATTCACTTTACAGTATATTCTGTGAAGCAGTTGAGGCATCTCGAAGACGTGATAAGGCGCTATATCAAATGCAAGGATTATTATTATTATGGATTTGTTTATTAGGTATTTTCACTGGATCTTGTTCGTTGTGCTCTCATGTACAGTTTGTGTTTTGGGGCTAAAATGGTCGATTAATGGATCCTCAGGTCACTGCCAGTGTTGTTTCCTGCTTGTGGAACAAGCAGGAAGTGACGTTTCAGTGACCTGATGCCTGAAGTCGGACTTTTTTTTCTTTTTGAAGGAACTGCCTGGTTGCATGCAGGTCAGTCAAACCCACTTATAATGTGGGTTGGGATTTTATAGATGACAAACACAGTGTAATATTGAGGCTGCAATGTACATAGGTTTAGCTGGTTAAACTCTAGGAGCACCTCGAAGCACATTCTTGGGTCCCTTATAAGCATTGGCTCTTGGCAACCTGGGGTCTAATACTCTCTGAAATTAGGCAAGCAGAGCGCGTCTCTCCAGGGAGAGTATGGATTCCATTCCAGACACACAGACATAAACGTGTGGAACTCTGTCTGGCTTTAATAGTCTTAAGCGTGGCTCTGAGATTGCATGTGTATTAGACACCCGCTGACTAAAAATAAATTCTTGAATTTTTTGTACAGGTATCAGTTTATTTACATCTTTAACTTCTATTTCTCTTTGAAACCCAGTGTAATTTAAAAAGTCTCCATTGTCAGCAGAACGAATGGGAAATAGATATTCTATGGTAGAAAATCTAATATTCCACAGAATTCTCTGTGGGAATACCAATGGAAGGAGGAAGAGAGGGAATGGGGCCAATATTTACCGTTGCAGAAATTTCTACTCTCCCATCACCAGTGCTACTATGTGATGTAGGTTTGCAGCGCATTGCCTGACTGACTCCATTTTTCACGGTTGCCCTGTTGTGAACCGTGTAAAATGAACAGCTCAGTTTCCTATCTAGCTGGAATTGGAGGAAACTATTACATAGAGAAGTAGGCACATGTGTAAATGGTTATTTTCTGTACATAAAACCTCTCCATGCACAATACATTATTTTTTTCCTCCTGCCTTTGCAATTGCAAAGTATTGCTTGTTGCAATGAAAGCATTTCAAATTACAAATCCTAATGCCTCAGTATTTATGATCGTATGAGAATTAGTGATCCTATGGATACCTATTGTAAATGTAAAAAATGCCACATTCTTGATTTTATTATTTGCTTTCAGTTGCACCAGTGTCTGTTGTAGATGCCTCATAACTGATGGACTTTTGCATTTGCTATTTAAAGGAATCTTTGATTATCTGAAGGTATACATGAGGGGCACTTATTCCCTCTCACTGATAGAGCATATGTTGTTCCAGAGAGAATATATTTTCGTAGTATCTCAGGAGTATTAGACTAAATCAGGTGAGCATAATGGTTATACTGTATTTAGGTTGGCACTTATAACTTAAGAGTAATTCGGCAATATTATACCTAATCATATGCAGCAGTTGTATGATTCTTGTATTGCATAACAGTGATATCTGTTTGGTTCCTAAAATGGAGACCATTTTAAAAGACAGATATTTTGGATTATTTTTGCAATTTAGCTTCTATTCTTCAATTTTGTTTTTCGTCCTGTATTATTTTTCAAAATACCAAGTATGTTGTTAAATAATGTGCACTAGACAGGCTAGCTTTTGTGAGGAATTGAAAGTGAAGTTATTCAAAAATGCTCAACTGAAATAGAGAGTTTGCTATGTGAAGAATGGGGGGCAACTATAGCCCCTTTTTCTGTGGCATTGTGCATTTATTACAGTTCATCACACTGATGTCTTGTTTTACAGCCAAAGAAAGGTGGTAATCCATTCTTCACTAGGTCCGCAATTATTGAATAAAAATTGTTAGTTTCCTGTCCTGTTCTCATGTTGGTCATTAGTGTATAAAATATGCTGAATTGAAAGACCTTCTTCTTGTGGGCAAATTCATTTAGGAGCTTGAAAGAAGAGAGGAATACAAGTGAGCTTCTTATGAGTCCAAATGAATTTCGTAACTAAATTTTAATATGTCTTTACTTTATAGAGCTATAAATTCACTCTTGTTTGATTTATTTGCACCAGTTTGAATCAACAATGAACTTTCTTAGCATTAGGATGTCCATTTTGAAACAGAGTGATGTGCAAGTAGGTTGCGCGAAGGTTTTTTTTTGTACTCAGTATTTTCTTATAATTATTTTGGTTCAGTTGTGATAAAATGTGATCAAATTTCTAAATCTTTTTACTGCGATTCTAGCAAATGATAAACCAGTGTTGTCATTTAACCTTTCTTCCAGCATAAATTTAGTGTTGTATTTAGCGTTGACTATAATGGATCTGATCAGCATCTACAAATGGTTTGTTTTCACACCCTAATCTTCTGTTGATTTAAGTTTGAGGGCCTCCTAACTAGTAATTTCAGACCAGTGGAATGAATAG